GTTATACATTATAAATTGTCTTTTTTGTTCTGTCTGCATCTCTAATCCTCCAATTCCTCGATTCAACTGTTACTTTTTTCCCACACAAGTATATCTACAGTAGCCTAATTGTGCATTTATGCGTGCTGTCGTCGTTCGCCCTTCCTGTGTCTGTCAATACGAATTCAATTGACTTCTTTGACAACGCTTCATTTAGTCCTGACATACTACGATTTCGACGTTTTTTGTTCGCACCTTTCTAGTTGTCTGGGACCTATCATTTTCTAGTCGAACCGTCTGTTTTTTTTTGCATATTTGCAGCCGGGCCGGCCTTTCTACAGTATTTTTCTTTCAAAAAAATTTTTTTTCTTTTAAAACGAAAGTCCTACAAAAAATAATTTGCGAAGATCAAAGTCTCCATAAAAACTATCATTTTTCAGAAAAAATGCTCAAATTTACAAAAAAAAATTTTAAATGCAAAACCGGGTCCTGATTTTTCAGATATACAGTGCCGCTCGATACAAAAACATAATTTAGTCGATTTCTGCTATTTTGATCATTTTCAAGTTTCTGGAACTTGGCTGTCAAGTTTCCGATCATTTTAAAAATTGTCAAGAGTGTAAAACAGATCTTTTTCAGAATTTTCTGAGAATTGCTAGTTTTTCAGCTATACGCCGAATCCCAAAGGACACCTCTTTTTGGACTGTTATTGTACTGAAAATATTCAAAAAAAAAGTGTCTTTCAGAAATCGACAAATTGGTTAAAAAACAACGAATTTCACAAAAACTCTGTGAGTGCGAAGTTTCCAATCTAGGTCTGTTTAATAAAATCCGAACTTCTCAAAAATTTTGGGTACTAGACAGCCGACCTTCAGACTCCTCAAAATGGTCAAAATGACCAAGAATCAACTGAAAAAGGTTTTTGCGTATTTTTAATCCGGGCCTTCCCTGGGCCTTCGCGGGCCTTGCCATTGTTGCTTTCGGAATTGTTATTTTCAGATCAACTAAATCAAATATGATAGAACTCGGCGAGTAATACAAAATGATACTATTCGAAAAACTGTTTAAAAAAAACGGCCCAGCCCGGCTCGGCACGTCCGAAATAAGCCAGTTTATGGCCTGTAACTTTGTTCGCAGACAAGATACAGTATTCCACATAAAATCATTTTGTAGTACTCGTCGAGTTCTATCATATCCAATACAGTTGGTTTCAAAGTTTCGATTCTGAAAGAAACTATGGCAGAGCCCGGGAAAGGCCCGGATTACAAGTGTGTGTTATTGTATATTTTATTGTCCGGCACTTTACATGTTGCTTTGACTATTTTAAATTTAAAATTGTTGCAAAATCAAAGCACAAAAGACCCATATTCCTATTAATACTGATCTTAACTCCACTTGACTTCTTATACAAACACTATACATCTGTGATAGAACAAAAAAGTTGCGTTCATCTTTTGTAAGCGGTTTTCTTGTACACTTTACAACTATGACTAGCCAACAAACAATGTGCGGGAGCTCTAACCGTTTTTATCATCAAACCATCACCTATTCTCTGCTGTTGCAAATCCCACTTTCTCTCACTCGAAGAGCCGCTGAGAAGTTCTCTTTCTCTGTTTGATCGCCGACTTAGCCTTTTGAGACCTCCCCACACTCTTTCACCTATACTGTTTGTGTCGGCTGGTCGTCGGAGCTCTTTTGTCTCTGTATTCTTTTTGAAAGGAACAGAAAGAGCAAGCGGCTCCCACACTCAATCTCTCTGAAATTGTTATTATTAGTCTACTAATATGGTATACTCATCGTCTTTATCTTTCTCGTCAAACAATCATGTTCGACGAAGAACCATACCGATTGTGTTGGAAAAGGTGAGTGAAGAAGGTTTCGGCACGGCTAACATGTCTTATAATCTGAACATCGCTAGCGATAAGATGTTGTAGCTTTTTTAACTAAAAGATGAATGCAGAATATCATTTTTTTGATTTTTGAATATTTTTCATTGTTAAAAGTATCAGGGGTATTTGTTCTACCGCAAAATCTGTTATGAGGGCTCCTGAATTTCAACTTCGAGCCATTTCGTTTCGCTTCATGTGGAAGATATCAAAATGTTGTTAACTAATAAAATATTGGAGATATTGTGATAATTATTTTTTCAGTTGACACATTTTTGATATCTTTTACTGGAATCCGAAGTTGACGGTTTTGGTGGGCGTCTATTAGACGAAACATGATTATTTACTTTTTTAATTTTTTAATGTTCTTTCTTTTTTCTCTAATGGCGCGTCCAAATTTCCAAAATCTGAGATTTCTGGGCCCAGAAAACAGTCCAAAGTGACGCCCAGATTCCCAAGATTTCCAATTGAGCAAAATTTGAACCAGTGCGACAATGTAATTTTTTATTGAACACAATATGCAGGAAATATGCAGAAAAGCATGTAGATTTACATAAAAATAGATAAATTTTCAAAAAAAAGTTCCTTCATCGAGAAAAACGTCAGGGCTCTCATCCGAAAAAAATAATAATTTTCCGGTGCGTTTTTCTCAATGAAGGAACTTTTTTTTGAAAATTTATTTTTTTTTTCACATGCTCTTCTGCATATTTTTATTCAATAAGAAAATACATTGTTGCACTGGTTCAAATTTTGCTCAATTGGAAATCTAGGGAATCTAGGCGTCACTTTAAACTGTTTTCTGGGCCCAGAAATCCCAGATTTGGGAACTTTGGGCGTTTTTCCCAACTAAATTGAATTTTATCATTTTTAAAGGCTTCCAGCAAGTGTTAAAAATTACACAATCTTCTCTCCTCTCCACTTTTCAATTGAACGTTGCATTTTTCACATCTGTGCTGATTGGATTTTCTGATAGCACACCTTCACTTTTTCAAAACCGACCAACTTGCATTATTGTTTTACACTTTTTCTGCTAAAAACGCAGTTTCGTACCTTAGAACTCATTTTATTTTTGGTATACATATCTCGGTGGTCTTTTCTCCGACTTTTAGTAGCAATTATGGAATCAAATCTCGTTCGTTTTATGTCAGAAAATTCTCCGCTCGCTGAACGAGAGCTGGAGTAATTGTTCCTACCTAGTAAGTTAATATCTGCTCTTGGCCTTCATCACGTTTCCTGTATCTTCCCGCCTTTATAATGTTCAATTATTGAATTGAACACAAAAAAGGGGGAAGAAACAAGACGGCAAGGAAATAAGAAACATTAATCAAATTCCCTAATAAGGTTTCGGCTTCTTCTATTCTCGTCCCCGTCCATTAGCCCTAGGGTCGTTGAATCTGTATGACGAGACTCATAAATAAGAGGTGCCGGATGCGCGTTTAAGGTAGTTTGCCGCTCCAGCCGGCTGTATTTGTTCCAAGGAGAATAAGGCACCACTTCTGTTGCTTCTGAATAGGTTCAGGACCATCATCGGGTGACAACAGACTTGTCTTTCTTCGTCCAGCCGGTCAAAACATCAATTTCGCACAATAGAAAGGGCAGCTGGTGCCCTACTGGTGAGGGGTGGGAAGTGAACGGCGAGAGATTCATTTGAGATAAGCATGTGCGCACATGTTGCTTGACTACGCAAATTCTATTCAGTTGTCCTTTTTTTGGAAGTATTGCGTTTTAGATTGACTATATATGGTGACATTTTTTTTGTCTACCACCCTAAGATCAAATTTGAAAGTTTGTGACTTCAGAAAATACTTATAATGTTGTATCTACCTCATTACAAATTAATACATTTAGAAAAAATACAGTTTTTTTCTAAATCAATTCTAATTAGCATATTTCCTTCAATATAAGCCAATTCAAACCGTCAACTTTGAACTCCATAATCTCGATTTTATGATATATAATTCCGCAATTGACAAAATTTTGAAATTTTTTATAAGGATTGAGGTAATTGGGCTTAAAGTTGACGGTTTGGGCGGGGTTTGGTATCTGATTACTGTATTCAAACTTCCAACAAATCTTTGAATTTATTGTAAATCCAATTTCAAATAATTATGAATTTTTTGACTTTTGCAAAGCAACAATACTATAATTGTATTTCATCAAAACAATAAAAAAATAGAATTTCGATTTTTGTTTTTATGAACAATTATTGCTTTTAAAATTCTATTCCAATACTCGGCTGTCGGCTTGCAACTTCTGGACGGAAATTGAGGGGGGGGGTTCGGCTTTTGGACGGATCTCAGTCAGATTTTGGTCAGAAGCTGCCCACTGGCAGCAGTGGGACGGACAATGGTCGGATTTTGGCCGGAATTTGAAGACGCTGCGTGTTAAGAGGTCGGAAGCTTTGTCGAATCTTGGTCGGCTTCCCACAATTTCTTTGCCGGAATCTGATCAAGCTCCGGCCAGAAGTAACCGGCGACGCCTGAGTAGTTTTGAAACTCTTTGAATTTCAGTTTTTTTTTCATTTAAAAGGATTACGGTATAACTCTTTTCCATTTGCTTTCTATTTGAACTCATAAATTGATCATTATACTGCTCAAAAATCTGAGAAATTGAGCACACAAAACCATCTGCCTATTAATTTAATGTTCAACATATTGTTACTTTATTACTTCGACCGGCAACAGCTGGACCACCCCTTGTTCGCACTTTCCCGATCATGTGTGCACATCTAAATTCATCTCTTTTAGTAGGATTTCATTCCATTTGTACGTTGAAATCCATCTTATCCTTCTCCTCCTCCTCCACCCAAAAGCATCAAAAAGAGAAACGGGAAAAAAATCTATCTAGAAATATCCAAACAAAAACCTCAAAATCCTTTGCACCATATCTCATTCGAATCTGCCGTTGTTTCTCACCAGCCACGCATTCTCCCATATTAGTCGTACACATATATTTTGGGATGAAGAATAGGGGATTACGTCATCTCTTTCTCTATCCCCGACTCCTTCTTTGACCTTACCTAAGGTATCCGACTTTTTGAAGATGCCGCTTTGTTCGCTTAACATTTTCTTTGTATTCCTAACAAATTTTTTTTCAATTGATTACTTCTAATTTTTTCTCAATTTTCAGAACAGAATGGATGGTTTCGCTGAAGCCAACCAACTACTCTCCTCGGCACTGGAGCAGTTGGATGACATCATTCGGAATGGTACGGTAGTATTTTTTTTTCAAATTTTTAATAATGATGTGTTCTATTCTCTTTATGAATTTATAAAGAGATGACTCTATAGCAACATGAAATAGGCAATATGAAAAACGGGAAAATTACTAATGAAATGGTCCATTGAGAAGAAGACAAATGAAAAAATAAAAAGCGCATAAAATAGAGGAGGAATAGGAAAAATTATGATCACAAAAATAAGTGTATACGTTTAGTAGGAGACCCATCTTTCATTCGAAAAGTCTATTTTCCATTTTTTTTTATATCTGACGCTGAGGATGTATCTAACAGGTGAGAAAGTAGAAAAAAAAGAAAAAAAGAAACCTTGGCGTCAAACACATGGTCTGAGAGATGACAATGAAAGAAACAACAACCCCCGGAGGCGGAATCTTCTTACTTTTTCGATTTTTCTCCTTGCCTATTTCTCGCTTCCATTTACCTGAACAATAGAGAACATCTTCTCCCTCACTATTTTTTCGTGTTCTCGACTGACCGGCAATGTCCATACCTGTCCTCTTTTTAACCCCTGCCGACCAGTTTGTTCTATTCATGATTCGACCAGTCTTTTCAGAAAAAAGGGAACGACGCGTAGTACCAAACAGTGAGGTACACACACATCAAATATTCCTATTTCCATCTTCATTTTCATTTTGGTTTGGCTTCCCCATGTTTAACTGTACGATAAGCGTAGAATGACTCAGAACAGTTGGAAATTTCTGGAAGAAATTCTTTTTTTTTCATTTTTCAATGTTTACATACCGTAAAACCTGTATTAGAAGGGCCCCTCTAATAGAAAGGCCCTCCAAGAGGGGCTTGGAAAAATAGAAGGCCCCCCCCTGTAATACTAGCGCACCCGTAATAGAAGGGCCCTCTTTGAAAAAGGACCCTGTTTCAGAATGTGTTTCGAAAACAGAAAATTTCCGTCCACAATTTGATAGAAATTTGTTGATACTCTATATTTCGATAAAAATCTCGCTAAATTTTGGTGAATTGGGCAGATTCTCATGAATTCTGAACGAAACTTCGTCGAATTTTTGTGATGCCAAATTCGGAAATAACTGGACGGAAAAATAAAAGGGCCCCCTCTAATTGAAGGGTCCCTGTAACAGAAGGGCCCTCCCCTTGGAGGTAACTTGGAACAATAAAAGGGCCGACCCTTCTAATACAGGTTTTACGGTATACAGTACCGATCAATTAGATAGACAAGAAAGTATTTTTCAGTGGACTTTTGGTCATTTTTGTCGTTTTCTGGAATGTGGAGCTTTAAAGGCAAATATCCAATTACTTTGAAAACTTGGAAGGGTGTGAAACAGGCCAAGATTGAAAATTTTGCATTTACAGAATTTTTTGAAAATTTTTAGTTTTTCAGTTATTTTTCGTTTTCTGAAAGATACTTTTTTCTACAAAAATGGGCCAAAAATAGGTGTTTGTCAAAACTCGGCAAATGGCTTGAAAGCTAGGAATTTTCACAAATTTCTGCAAATTTAAAGTTTTCAATTTAAGTTTTTTTACATCATATAAAGTTTTGAAAATGATCGGAAAATCGACAGTCGAGCTTCAGCATTCTGAAAATGTGCAAAATAGCTAAAAATCAACTGAAAAGCAAGTTTTTCTTTATCTTCTCGACCGGTTCTATAGCTAGAAACCAAAATATTGAAACGAAATGCTTATTTAGTCATTCTTATTCATACTTTATCAACTTTTCGTTGTAGTTTAGTCATTTTTTGCTATATTCAGTCATTTTTAAGTCATTTTTTTATTTTCATCAAATTCAGATTGTTTTTCGATCCTTGACACTCCCAAAAAAATGCAAATTAGCCAAAATTAGAGATGGATGAAATATCACGAGTGTCTTTCTAATTGGCTCCATTCAAAAAGTCACATACTTTCATCTGACCATATTTTTCTAGTAATTTGATTTCTCATCAAGTTACTGTTTTTCCTGCTTTCTCAATTTTCGTAAAAGTAGTCTTAGTAGTCAAACTAGCCTCTCTTTTCTTTTGACAGTAGTCATCCTATACTTTTTTCCTGTTTTTTTTTTCTCCAAGCAAACATAGAAAATGTGTTTTGTTCTTGAGCGAGAGATTCAATTCATTTCTAGGATCCCAAAACTCGCTTAAACTCCTTTTTTTTGGATGAGGAAAAAATATGAATATTGAATAACGCATCGTTTCAAATGTCCCTTCACAAATGTTTTAGTGTGATGAAAGAGGGTCAAATGTCCTGGTGTGGACTTTTTCGTTTACCAACTCTCGCCTGGTCGTTTAAATAGAAAATGAAGCGCGGCGGCGAGATGGAATTTCCGTTCAGTTTTCCGCGCAAACACTTTTTTCCAACCCTTTCAATTTCCTTTCCCTACAAACACACACACTTACATACAAGAAGACCCAATTCAAATTGAAAAATTTAAAAGGAGCAAAAAAAAGTTCCCACACACACACACACACACACACACACACACACACACACACACACACACACACACACACACACACACACACACACACACACACACACACACACACACACACACACACACACACACACACACACACACACACACACACACACAAACACACCCTTCATTTATTCCATTTCCAATTTAAATTCATCAGTTCATGAGTCTCTTTTCTCATCTCCTGCTTCTAGCCTCCTAAAAAGTTCAGTTGTTCCGGGTGGGACGGTTTTCTATTCATTTCTGCACAAAATTAAACCCCCAGTCATTTCTTTCCTCTTCTTTGGTACTCAATAATGACAGAGAAGATAACCAGAGGTAAACATGTTTGTTTAGTGCAAAAATAACCCCAAGCACGACAAAATGAGAAATTGAAAAAGGTTCTTGAAATAGGAAATGGGTTTGTAATGAGAAAAAACCGTTTTAAGAAGCTAAATCCGCTTGACATCTCAAATTTGATTTTTGACTCATTTTCTATATTTCCAGGTAACACAACTTCTCGTAGTACAACTACAATTGGATCTGGACCAACACCAATTCTCAAAAAATCATTTCGAGATCTCCTCCCACCTCCACCAGCTCTCAGATCGACATTCTCCCCAAGAATAATGGAAAATGGTATGCCCAGCATCTCCCATAAACAACATATAAATGATGGTGAGTATACTTGCATGGGTCTAAGGAAATTGACCATATATGTCTCAGGATATCTTATTTATAGACATCGACAATGGGAATGCAGACGACGAGAGATCTAGTCGAGAAATAAACCGACAGTGGATCAGTACTGATTGGAAGCATCGGACGGGTGAGTGTTCAATTTTCAGATAAGACCTAAACAAACTGAAATAAGTCTCTAGTCAATACTTTCTGGGTTTACTGATAAGGTTAATCATTTCTGTAAAAAAAATAGTTTATTCTAGACAAAAAGTTCCTCTAGCTCTAAGTTAGTGTTCAATTATTCTTAAACCTGTGAAAGGGGTTGTCTAGCATTGATAATTGATAAATTATTGATCAGAAGAAAATATGGCACAAAAGTTATAACGGGAGTTCTAGATAAAATCCCTAACGAGATGAACCTAGAGAATGGGGAAGAAAATGGTATACATGTAAGGTTGGCAAGATATTTAAAAAAAGGGGAAAAGGTAAGCTAAAACCGGGTGATGGAAGATTGGATTAAGGTAGAAAATTGAGCATTCAACTGTGAACCAATTTGTCTGGCTTCCTGCCCAAGATATAAAAACGTTCTCAATTGATGAACTTTTCATCATAACATCAGAAGTATTTTGTTTGTTGACAACTTTTTAATATCTTTCTCAAGAACCGAGAAAAATTAGCTCAAAGTTAAAAATCAGGGATCCCTTCTGATACAGGTTATACGGTAATTTAAGTTTTAGAGATTTTTCATTTTTATTTCACAATTTTCACATGCTTTACTACCAAAAAAAATGTATGTTGATTCATCATGTGCATTATTTTTTCTAAAATCCGATTATCAAAAATTGCTGATTGACAGTTTTGGTCTCACACTAGTTTTACACTCTCCTGCTCAAGTCATTCAGCGTAAACACTATGCAGTAGAAAGTCCCCAATACTTGCACTTTGAGTTCACTTATCTCAATTTCTAATAGAGATCTCAAAATAGGGCCAATTGATAAAATGTTGATCTTCAAACGAAAAACAATGTCAGTTGACAGATGTTTATTATCTCTTATAGAAATTGATATAATTATGCTCAAAGTGTTTACAGTATATTTTTTTTTAATATCAATTTTCCAGACTTGGGCTCCGACGGATCATCTGGTGTTGAATCACCACCATCAGACCTTCCGACTTCTTCATCATCGCTTTTCAACCCACCAAGGATCTATCAGGAATTTGTGAAGGCTATCGACGAGCACACAATGACAGAAAGACCGGATTTAGAGACAAGACTAAAAATCATGAAATGGGTTGCTGGTAGAACGGTTAGTTTGTTTTCCATGGTTTATTTTTTGGTGCATGATTGTTTGTTTATTTTTTTGAAAGGAAAATTTTCGAAACTTGGTCCGTCGTCAGGTGAGCAGCTTCTGAATTTTTTGAACGGAAATTTTTGTTTTCACAATAGAGTAGATTTCTTTGAATCGCGATATTGAAAATTTCGTTTTCCGATTCTTCCAAAAACATGTTCTAAAATTTTTCCCGACTTGGAATTTCCTGAAATTTTTACCGAGGATTTTCGGTAAAAAATAAGTTGTATGATGAGAATAAATATTTAATTGGATCGCTACACACAAAACTCTGCGTGGGAAAATTTCGAGATTTTGGGTTTCGGCATCTTTCTCCTAAGTTGAAAGTTGCCAATTCCGTCTGCCTTTTGAAACTTTTTACCAGATATTTCACTTACATGTTAACTTAATTCAAATCAAACCGAGCAAAAAACAAATTCGTCGTCATATCTTTTTAAAAGTTAGTGACCACTATTCTCTGTCTTCCCACTCCCAAAATGACCTCCTCTCTATATCGTCAAATAGATAGAGTAGAAGCACAGAAGAAAAGAAGACGGGTGATGTTGCCGAAATAGAAGGCCAAAGGAAAGGGTCCGGGGCAGATAGTGGGCGAAGGGGGGGACGAGCCCCCGATACTAACACAATTAGCGACAGAGGTCCCCAACAGCAATACTTGGGCTGGTGTGTCCCTTCCGGAGAAAAAAGAAACAGACATATCCTTACTCAAAAGACTCTTCCTCATCTTCTTCTTCTCCTTCTAACTCTCCTTTTGACAAATGTTCATCATCCATTTAAATTCAGAAACCCACTTCATTAGACTCTGAAATAGTCCAGAACTCTTTAAAACTCATAGGATAATCCCATAGCGGATGTTTTTTTTTTCTCTCACGAAAACTGCTGGACCTCATCAACTAACAATTACCGAAAAAAGAGTAGGTCTTCCCGTTTTTCCTACTCCTCTTTTTTGTGTTTCGCTTTTTTTCTGCTCGTTTTCGGTGCCCTCCCTGTCATTTAGAAGCTGCACCACACAAAGTTGCTGTTTTGAAACCGATGGAATCTTCCACTCATTTTGAATTCTTTCCCAAAAAGCACTTCTTCGAGAAGAGATACTCGTTTCACTCCACTTTGTTGTCTTGGAATCTTTTCTTGGTGGTGGAGCAGTCAAAGACGAAGAAGAGGAAGAAAGATCCGGTTTGAATAATAGATATTGGGTTGTTTTTCCAATTACTTGCTGCTCACAGGGAGTGGGAGGAGAAAGATCTGACTTGGAAAATGTTGCAATTTCGCTCATTAAGTTTTAATGCTGTTAAGTATGCTATTTTTACTGGAAATTTGGCTGACAATAGTTTTCAACCTGATAGTTCCTCGTTGATTTTTTGTTGGGATATTTTCTAGAGTCTGGATCTTCAAAAAATATAATCCCGACAATAGTTCCCCCATCAATGACTAGACCTTCTCTATCCACACAATACGAAGGCTTATGACAAAAGAGGGATATTCGTTTTTGGGTCAGAGTCGTTTATAACCAAAAAGACATTTATAAATATATGTATATTCGGGAGGCCCAGTGATGGAGGTTCACATTCATCTCCTCATCTCTCAGGCAAGATCATTTTCGGCTATATTTAAGACAGGAGAGCCAAGAAAATTGTTGGGTGTCTGTGACGGATGCTCACGAAAAGAGCATCCGTAGGTATTTAGTTTTTTTTGTAGATGACATATCATTCTGTACCTTAATAAGTTTTTTAGGCCGGCGGTTGGGGGGGGGGCCCAATTTTTAAAATTTTAGCAATTTTTTGAATTGCTAGCTGAATACTTTCTTTAGCTTCATAACTCTAAAAGTCGGACTTTGACACCATCGTTTTCCTATTAGGTTGGCAGGAAAGTAACTGTCCATTTTTTTTATTAGTAAATAACACAAACACAAGAATAATCCAGAATTAGCAATATGCACCGTCGTGATCCACAACATGTTGGCAATGTTCAGGTAACTTGTGGGTACCATCCCTCCAGAAGCCAGCTAGTGGCAAGTCAAAGTATCCCTCCAGTCCATTTTTTCAGGCATCAATTGTGTTAAAATCCTTAAGCTCCAGATGACGTCGTAAACTTTTGAATAACCAATAGTCTGATAGAGCTGAATCAAGTCTTTAACGGGGGTAAAGGAGAACCGTCCAGCCAAAGCGGCTCAGATACGGCGTGACTTTCAGTGAACATGAGGTTTTTTCATTTTTTACCTGCAGTCAAGTCAGACCTGAGCAGCTTCAGTGGGACCGTTCTCCCTCATCTACTTATAGTCCCGACTGAGCTCTATCAGATTATTGGATATTCGGAGAGATACAACCTCATCTAGTGAACACGAAAATTTGCACCATTTGTGTGAAAAACAGGAAAAAAAATGAATACTTTGATTCGTGGCTAGCTGGCTTCTGGAGGGATGGTACCCACAAGTTACCTGAACATTGCCACAACATGTCGTGGACCACGACGGTGCATACTGCTAATCTTGGATTAATCCTGCTTTTGTATTATTCACAAACAAAACAAGGGACAGTTACTTTCCTGCCAACCTAATAGTTTTGTGCGGCTCTGAAAATATTGTTTCGCAATTAAAACTACAAAATTACAACTTTCGCCACCTCATAAATAGCTCAAAAATCCCGTAAGCGAGATTATTGAGGTCAAATTGCACGTATAGAGTGGGCTTCTATTAGAGCTTCATTAGCTCTAATGTTTTGCATTGAAGCTATTTTCTTTGTTCCACCCCAAACTGCAAAACCTTGGATTCAGTGACGTAGATATTTCCATTCAATAGAATTCTAACTTTCTGATTTTTTTTTTAATTCTGCTATTCTTTCCGATTTTCAATTCTTGACCTTTGTAATCTTTACAGATTTCAAAGTTCTCTACCATTTTCTTTTTCTGTTTTTAAAGTTTTTGCAACATGTTTTCCTAGACATTATCACTCACTTTGAGTACCTAACAACCCCTATCCATTTTCCCACTTCGCGGCTCCATGCAACTTTTGATACATTTTCCACAGCAGTTTTTGTTCCTCACTTCACCTTTTATTTCTTTTTCTACTTCTCAACACAAAACAAAAAAACCAACAAATCATTGTAACTAATGATAATCACCCGATCGGCACCTCTTTGAAGTGTCGCTTGTCAATTTGCGGACAGAGCCTGAAAACTGCTTGCTTTTTTCTGCCAGCAGCAACTCTGCAACATGAGTAGGTGATAGCTCAGAGAGACAGAGAGAGTTATTTATTTTTCAACTCGTCAAATATATCAATAATTGTCTTCTCGTTACCCGTCTCTCTGTGGTAGGAAAGAAAGGAGGAAGAAATTGTGTGTAAAAGATTGTGTATATGATCTGTACTCGCATTGAGAAAAGGAGGATCAGGGAGAGAAGAAGAAGATATCAACGCGGACGGAACACGTTATACTTTCTTGCTCCCCGGGAGGAGAAAGATAGAAAAAGTTTGTGTTGGTAGTATTAGTTTCGAGGAAGAGAAACAGAGAAGTAGACATCCCGGCTTCTCCCGGGGATTCTTCTTCTCTTGTTCTTCTTCCCGTAGTGATTGATCCGTGTGAGGGTGCCGCTTGAACAGTTGTCATCACATCACGCATTCCACAACTTGTCTGCCACCCTCTCTTTCTCTCTTGGATCCTATCAGAGAGAGATAGGAGGGTCCTTTGCAAAAAAGCTTCAGACTATAGTCGCCTTCACATATTATCTTTATACTCTTTATTTTCCCACTACTCTATGCGAGAAACGCTTTAGGTGAGCTATTTGGGTTAGTAGGGTTAAAGTCGGCTGATTCGATTTTTTTCTGACTGGTCAGTTCTTTGACCAATGCACTTTTTTTGAACTCAAAGTTCAAATTAAATGAAATTAGAAAAAATTGCAGAAACAGTTCAAATTTCCAGCTAGTTTTTCTCAAAAAATCAAATTTTTCGAACGTACCTATCTCCTCTTTTTCAAGCTCATTTATCTTGATTCTTTTAAAAGATATTAAAAATTTGTCAACTGATAAAATTTTGAACAAGTTATGATAAATAATTTATCTGTTGCCAACTTTTTGATATTTTTCACACCAAGCGAGGTAGTTGAGCTCAAAGTTGACAGTTCTGGTGGGCTTCTTTTTTCGAGGAACTAGGTAATTATTGAGTTTTTTGAAATTTTTTATTTTCAGAAAAAACCGATCGACTAAATTTGAAAAAGTATCATTACGGAATTCAAACTGTTTCTGCAAACTTCTCCAATTTACGTTTATTTGAATTATCTGTACAAAAAAAAATGCAAAAAATTGTTTTATGTTCCAAACTTATTCCTGAACATTTGGAAGTATGACGAAACAGCCAAATCTAACCAATATTGGCTTCATTTTTCCTTCTTCTTATTTTTTTGAGTAGTTGCCGCCCCATATCACCGTAGTACGGTATGTACTCTCGACACAGCATCATTGATGCGTTCAGCGCCGGTGGTATGCCATCTGAAGAAGCTCTGACGGTCAGCTCGTCTCAAAACTCGCAAATTGATGCGTTCGCCGCGTCGGTTGACCGAGAACGCGACTCGTTGCGCAGTTCGGGTAGCGGCAATATATTCAAGGATAATGGCTCAATCAAACGGTGAGTGGAAAGTGTTTTGTCGTGAGAAGTGTGTCCGCCACAAAATAGGGATGATGCCCCGTTTTTCTTTGTCCATTTCCATGTGGCCACTCTTTTCTTCCGACATGTTTCCAATTTTCTCAAGTAATCTACCCCTCTCTCCCATTCCCATGTGTTGCACAAAAACGAGTATAGGGTCAAAATGGAAAACGATGTCAGGGAAAAGGATTTGATAAGCATTTCATAAAATGAAAGCTTCTTAAAAAGAGTTCCGGACAATAAGATATACAAACGCGTATGTTTATAATAATTTTCAGCAATTTCACCAGTTTCAATGCCCTGGAGCTTGGTAAAACTTTGAAGAGTGTAAAATAGATCTCGATTGGAAACTCTGAATTCACAGAATGTTTTGAATATTTCTAGTTTTTCAACTTGCCAATTTCTGAAAGACACCTGTTTTTCGTGTTTTCAGTACAAAAACGGATGTCTTTCAAAAATTCAAAAACAGCTGAAAAAACAGGAAATTTAAAAAAAATTGAGTGAATGGAAAGTTTTTAATCTAGATCAGTGTAGACCCTTTGTAGTATTCAACGTGATCCAACACTTGATAGCCAAGCTCCAGACTCCTGAAAATGGTCGAAATGGCCGCATATTCAGTGAAAATTACATTTTTTAAAGATCTTACTGTTCGGAACTGTGTATGTTTTTTTTGAAGTTTGATTTGTTGGAAAACTCAAAATTTGAAAAATTAACATTCAATTTTTTTTATCCAGACCATCTCAATTATCATTTAGAGTGTTCCAAAGTGCCTCCCATCTAAATTCCACCCCTTATTTTCTTCACAAATTACCTTGAACTTTCATTAAACGAGCTCTGCGTCTTCAGACGTCAAGCAATACCCTATGTGACGCACTATTCGGATTCGGGATTCGGCTCCGCCCCATCCGCCGGTTCCAGTTGCTCCTATCTGCCACCACCGCCGCCATATCGGATGCGTGGTAGTGGTGGAGGGTTGAGTAGTAAACCCCAACACAAAATTCATCGGAGTCTAAGTGATTCAAAGTACACGGCCAGTCTAATGACCGCTGTTCCGCAAATGCCTCTTTTGTCAATGACACCGTTGAACCAACTACAACCTCGGGATGCTCGCGGGGCAAGTTGGATAAGTTTGGTAGGTATAGGAAGAGTGTATGGATTGCCCAAGTTGATGAGTGAACTTTACTTCCTCTTTTTTTGGATAAACGAGTGCATTTCTAACCAGAGCTATATCTAACTTGACCTCAGAAAAGTTCGCAACCCTCATTTATCTTATTTTCCCATTCCATTTCTCACAACACCTATAGGTCGTGTGTTTTTGCAATTTCATCTTTCTCATCTAACCCCACTGATCCCTATCTAACCTTCTCGTGTGTTTCCCTCTTTTCCGTTCATCCACATTCCATTCGAAACCTGGCACATGTTCAAAACGTTTTTGATCCAGCTAATTCTTGGAGCCTCTCTCTCTCTCTCTCTATCAAATTTTCTGACGGCCAGAGAGAACACTACTACATACTTTGGAGAACGATATAAAGAAGCAGAACACATATAAAATGAGCAAAAAAAAAGAAGAAAAAAGTAAAGACATAATTATCGGAAGGGAGAAAAAATGTCGGTGTCAGTGCCCCCAAAGCCATTGTCTTCCATCCAACGATATTTTCATTTCATTGCCCTTCACATATCCATTTTGTGTTCCTCAAAAGCAATGCAAACAATTGAAAGCAATCAGTTTGTCTGTGGGAGCTCTCTGTAACGGCCACACCAGAATTATTCAGTTTGAACAAACAAGCATGACGGCTGGCTTCGAAAAGGCTCTTCTCGGATTCAAAATTACTATTTTTAGGATCTATGATTATTCATCATATAACATTTTTCACATTTTCACTCTCTCCTATTTTTGCCGAGTTTCTATTTCTCATAATTTCTCGAAAAACAAAAACAAATCTCTTTTCTCTCTGCAGTGTGTGTACTTCAATTGCATTAGTGACCATCCAAAATGCGGAGGATATAATAATATGCATCAAAAATGGCACAAAGACGGGCCAAGTCGAAGGTTTTATCTTATTTTGAATAATGTGTTGTGTTGTGTTGTCAATTGGAATTTTAGAAAAAAAGAAATGCATGTAACTGAAAGTGTGATAAGTGAATTTGTCAGAAGTCTCAACCTTCAAAAAACAATTGTATTTCAGAGCCCATCGCCTTCGATGTCGACCGTCTCTTGTCCCGAGTACCCAGAGTTGCAGGACAAGTTACACAGGCTGGCAATGGCGAGAGACAGTTTGCAGCTACAAGTGGGTTACAGTAACCGGTAAAAGTAATTTTTGAGATATTAATTTTCAGGTCTCAGTTTTAAGTGAACAAGTCGGTGCACAAAAGGAGAAAATCAAAGATTTGGAGACGGTTTTGGCATTGAAGCGTAACAATTTGACATCAACTGAAGAACTTCTTCAAGATGTGAGTGAACGTTTTGAGTTTAAACAACGCTTTTGATATTCTGTAGACACATACCGTGTTTACTCTGATAGAAGGTCGCTCTATGCGACCACTTTCAGCTCGATTATCTCGGTTCTTCCAGAAGATTTCTAAGAAGTTTCAGTTAAAAAGATATTTATCATAATTTCATCAATATTTTACCAGTTGACAGATTTTCTATATCTCTCATAGAAACCATGATAATTAAAGGGGGGCTCCGGTCAATTTTTTTATTGCTTCAAAATGTGTTAAAATTTATCTATTTTCAGAATATTATTGCGAAAAAAGTCGAAAAAAAACCCGAAATCCCCAAAAAACGCCGTTGAAAAGGAAAAAAATTCAAAAAAGTGCCGTCGAGGGACGAGGATTTTCAGTGAGAAACCTAGGCCACACGAGAGAATTTTTCCGGATTTTTTTCGCTTTTATCTCCGACAGGTGAAAAACGTTAAAAAACATTGTCGGCCACTGGAAAAAATGCTGTCAGGCGCCGTGGCCTAGGTTTCTCAAAGCGTGGGAATTCAAATCCTTGTCCCCCGGCGGCACCTTTTTTGAATTTTTTTTATTTTCAACGGCGTTTTTTGGGGATTTCGGATTTCTTTTGAATTTTCGCGCAATAATATTAGGAAAATAGATAACTTTTAACACATTTTAATGCAATAAAAATTTTTGGTCGGAGCCCCCCTTTAAGCTCAAAGTAGACATATAGGGCGGGTTACTATTAGAGCAAATACGATATCAATGCATTACAGACAAGTTTTGAAAATTTATGCAAGACTCATGTTAGGGGTTACTGTAGATATTTGCTGTAGTAAAGTTTTGAATATTCCGCAAAATGCCTGAAAATGTTCGGAAGTTTTTTGAACACAGAAATTCTGTGCATCCGGATGTGTTCCAGTCTATTCAATTCCAGGTTACAATCAAATAATAATTGTTTACCACTATCCGCAAACAATAGAATGTCCCCAAAACGGTCATCTTTGACCACATGCATCTCATTTCCGGTAGAAAATATCGAAAAGTAGTCAACTGACAAAATGGTTATGATATTCTGATAAATAATTTGTCAGTTGACCACGTTTTGATACCTTTTACAAAAAATGAGATGTAAAAGTTCAAAGTTCACGCTTCGGTGACATTCCATCAGAGTGTTTATGGTAATTTCCAGCCAATCTCGTTCATGTTTCATTTAAATAATAATCCTTTTCCACGTAATTTTCCTTTATTTTGTTCTACACAATTTCTCGGTTCTAACATACTGAAACAATTATAAAAACAATTTCCCGTCACTTGCATTCGTTCCCACCCACCACTCTCTGTCTATTTTTTTCTCACCACAATCAAACATTCAGAAGTACCATCGTATCGATGAGTGCCAAGAGCTCGAGTCAAAAAAGATGGATCTTTTGGCGGAGGTGTCCTCACTCAAACTCCGTTACGCCACTTTGGAGCGTGAGAAAAACGAAACCGAGAAGAAGCTGCGTCTCTCACAGGTCCGTCTCAGTCTTGAACTAAATCCCAAATAACGCCCAAAATGGCGTGTGTGTCTTTTTTGGTGGTGTGCACTCTGGATGATATTCTTGGAAAATTGGGAGGAATGGAAGGACAAAAAAATTAGAATGGAAGAGCGGGAAAAGGATAATGCCTTCTCACAAATTTGTCCTTCCTGCACTTTTATAGTATAATCTCAATGGTCCCGTTTTTTGTTGGATGAGCACATTGGCTATTCCCAATTCCCACTACAACACTCATTAACATACTAATTTTTTTAAATTTGCTTTTTGAATTAATCCCCTGATCTTTAAATTCAAAATTACAGTGTTAAAACTACAGTATGACGTGTTCCTCATGTCTCAGCCCTTTTCCATTAAGTTTATCATTTCCAGAACGAAATGGATCATGTAAACCAATCTATGCACGGTATGGTTGTACAACAACAGCTTCAACACCACACCAATGGTCATGGAGGATACATGTCACCACTACGTGAGCATAGAAGTGAGCAACGAGTTGAGAAGCATGACGAGGAGATGGCTCAACTTCGGACCGCTGTTCAACGGTTGATGGCTGATAATGAGCATAAGTCACTTCAAATCAACACTCTCAGAAATGCACTTGATGAGCAAATGAGATCTCGGGTAAGATTATGAAATGGAGATTTTCAGTGGCCGAATACTTTTTTTCAGTCCCAACAAGAAGACTTCTACGCTGCTCAACGCAACTATACGGACAATTTTGACATAAACGCTCAAATCCGCCGGCTTGTGATGGACGAGACATCCGACTCTATGTCTCATTCAACATCGTTCCCCGTCAGTTTGAGCTCAACGAATAGCAATGGAAAGGGTCCACGAAGCACGGTTCAGTCATCGTCTTCTTACAACTCCTCTTTGTCTGCAGTGTCTCCACAGCACAACTGGGCATCGGCTGGCGCTGGAACGCCACGTCATTTGCATCCAATGGGTGGCAATCAACGGGTCAACAATATCAATGCTGCACAGTAAGATTTCATTTGGGTCCGGTCAATCCGGAATTCGGTTAGATCCGGAATCCTGGCGATAAGATAGAAAAAGCGCCCTTTTCGGTTTCTTTTCGGTCATGTGGACCATAATCATGAATCTGAAGCTCGGCTCTATAGTTTTCAAGCACTTTGAAAATTTTCGAGGCCGCCAAATCAACCCAGATTGAAAATTTTGCATTTACAGAATTTTTCGAAAATCCCTAGTTTTTCAGATAATTGCCGTTTTCTGAAAGACGTTTTTATTTTTACGTTCTCAGTACAAAATCTGGCAAAACCAGCTGTCCCTCGGTAATCGGCAAAAAGCTGTGAATCTTGAATGGTTAAAAATCTCTTTTTAAAGTTTTTAATACATGTCTGTTTTACATTGCCCAAGATTTTCAAAATGATCCGGCACGTGAGAGCCAAGCCTCAGATTCCTCAAAAATGGCAAAAATCAACTGAAAAACACCCTTTTGTCTCAGTGACCCTGTAGTTAAAACTTTCATTGATTTATAGATATCGTTCTCCATCGTCTCCAGCGGCCCGCCAGTTGGCTGCTGAGCTAGATGAGCTTCGAAGGAATGAAAATGAGAAGGCTGCCCACAACTACTCCACTGCAAGTCTCCCAAGAGGTGTTGGAAAGGTAACTCATAGTTCTATAAATCAGAACCACAACACTTCTCATTTACAGGCATCTTCTACATTGACACTACCAGCTAAGAAGCTCTTGTTGCATCTGGAAATTCCACTGGTGAGTTGGGCGGTTCCATGAGCAGTGTCGCTCACCCGACCCCAAAACGTAATTACCGAGCACAAATGAACCGATGGATCAACGAAAAATTGCGGCGGAAGCGCGCAGTCAGTGCGCCAAATCTAGGTTAGAGAATTGAATGTCTGGAATAATGAAATGCACAAATCTCTTTTTTTCCGTTTGGTTGTGTGTCATTTTCTAACATTCATTCTTCATTCTTACAGACTTTGCGTATGAGCCATAATTTTGAGCCATATAAAAAGCACAGTTCCGCTTTTGAGTTCAAACCAAGCCATTTGCGTTTGTCTGATTGATCCGTGAATTCCTTTCTTTCCCGAGCAGGCACACTAACAAGATCTGTCGAAATGTAATAACCTAATTGTTGCGTTCATGAAAAAAGTGTATCATCTGGTCTTCATTTGTCTTGGTAACAAATTTTTTTGTTTTGTTTTTGTTCAAAATAAGGATTGGTTGATTTTTCGGGAAATAACAAAAACAGTGTGTGCTGCCAATTAGGTAAGTTTACCGGTATGTCACCGGTAGTTTTACCGGTTAGTCACTGGTAAATTTTTGTAAATCTTGAATTTTGAGAGTTTTTTGAATTCATTTTTTAAAACTGCGACTTTTGAGAACTACGATGTTTTAGAACCACGACTTTTTCGAACTTTGGCTTTTTATAACCAATAAGATTCAGAATTTTGTTGTTACAGAAAACCGAGAAAATGAAAATGGGGAACCACACACTGGTAACAAGCACATATAATTTAAAAAAATTTCGTTATACTTATTTTGAACTCTAACAAAAATCACATGAAATTAACCAACTCCTTATTTTGAAAGCTAAAACGAGCCTTTTCTTTTTTCATGATTCAATTTTCAGTTGAATCCGATGATGAGATTGCACGTGGTCGTAGTTTGAACAATGCCACATCTCAGTCCAACCTGAAGAACTTCTCTCGAGAACGCACTCGATCTTCACTCCGCAACATCTTCAGCAAGTTGACTCGTTCCACATCTCAAGATCAGAGCAACTCGTTCCGCCGTGGAAGTGCAGCTAGATCCACCTCTACTGCACGTCTCGGATCCACAACTCATCTTGGCTCAGTGCCAAAACGTCCGCCACTTTCTCAGTTCGTTGATTGGAGGTCAGAGCAGCTCTCCGACTGGATTGCTGAAATCGGATATCCTCAATACATGAATGAAGTGTCGCGGCATGTCAGAAGTGGCCGTCACTTTTTGAACATGAGCATGCACGAGTACGAGGGGCTTCTGAACATTAAAAATCCAGTTCATAGAAAACGTGTGGCGATTTTGTTGCGGCGAATCGAGGACGACATTATGGAACCAGCCAATAAATGGGACGTTCATCAGACTCTAAGATGGTTAGAGGATATTGGGCTTCCTCAGTATAAGGAAATCTTTGCCGAGAATGTTGTGGATGGTCCGTTGCTTCTAGCCTTAACAGCTAGTGATGCAGTGGAGATGAAATTGGTCAACGCTCATCACTATGCCACACTGGCAAGAAGTATTCAGTTTTTGAAAAAGACTGATTTCCGTTTTGATGCGATGGAGAAAAAGATTGATCAGGTGGGAAAACTGAAAAAGGGAGGCAGCTAAGAAAAAATGAAAATTTCAGAATATTGTCGAGAAGTACCCATGTCCAGATGTTGTCGTTCGATGGAGTCATGCCGCTACATGCGAATGGTTAAGGAAAATTGACTTGGCAGAGTTTACTCCAAATTTGCTGTGTGCTGGAGTACCGGGAGCACTGATGGTGAGTGACACATATATTAGATGTCTTCTACATACAGTACCGATCTATAAGATATATACAAAAATGCAAAACAATGGAAAAATACGATAGTTTTATTAAATGATACTGTATGCCTCCTGGCTCGATGTTAATCTCAAACCAACTTCCGAAAACTGTAAAAAACAAATTCTCCAGATCTACGAACCATCATTCACCGCCGAGTCGCTTGCTGAGGTTCTCCAGATGCCACCGCACAAAACACTTCTCCGACGTCACTTGACATCGCACTTCAACCAACTTCTTGGCCAGAAGATCATTGCCGATAAGCGGGATTTCCTGGCTGCCGGCAACTATCCGCAAATCTCTCCGACGGGAAGAGTGAAGGTAAGGAAACACTGGAGAAATGAACCGGAAATAGACAATATTGAACTTTAGGTTGTTCGAAAGGGGTTTTCTCTGACCCGCAAGAAGGCCAAAAATGAGATTTGCCTGGAGCCAGAGGAGCTGTTGTGCCCTCAAGTGTTAACTCACAAGTATCCCATTACGGTAAGTATCGATATTCAGAGTCAGAGAGCAAATATTAATTTGGAACTTTTAGACTGGAGACACCAGCTCGCTGGAATCGTCAAACGTGTAAATCCTCCAAAAAATCTCATCTAGGAACCAATCTTCGTGTCCTGAACCCCGTTGCATCATGACAAAAACCAACAACACCATAAAAATCCAAATTTGTATCCAAATTTCCTTCTCCCGTCTAAAAATGTCCCATGCTGTCTGTATTTAGTACCTGAAACTATCTTCGCCGATTGCGAGTCCTTTGCATTTCCAAAACAAAAATTTGTCTTCCCCCCAAAACTCTCTTATTTCATCGTTCTTTCCTATCTGAATTCCAATTATTTTTATCTATTGCCATTTAACACTCACCTCCTAATTTTTTAAGAGGCGAATTGTAGATCAAATCTCACTACAACTCCTCTTCACCCTATTTTTTCCCGAGTTTCCGAATTCACCCTCTGAGATGAATTATTCTAGGAAGCTTCTTTGTGATTCCAATTGAACATTGCTCGTTCCATTTTTCATTTTATTCATTTTTCCGTTTTTATTGCTGTCATTCAAAAAAGTTTCTCCCTTGTGCTCTTCAATTCTCATCAATTCATTCTTTTTTTAATTTGAAATAAAACAAATTGCCTGAACAAGTCTTTTTTTTAATTTTCGAAAACTTTATTTGAAATTTCAAAATTTTGGACTTTGGGAATATTGAGATTTTTGAATTTTAAGAATCTTGGAATATTCCAATTTTTAAGATTTCGGAATTCCGGAATATCACGATTTTCAAAGTTTCGAAACTTCAGAATATCCAACTTGCACATTTCCGAAATTTCGCAATTTTCCAGTTCTCAAAATATTCGAATTTCGTTACTCGCAAGGAAATTTTAAGTGTGTCCTTTTTAGTCCGAAATGTTTCAATTACAATAATAGGGTATTTTTGAAATTCCGAACTCCAAATTCCTGTTATCACATTAAAAAATCAAAAATAATTTTGAAAATCGTTCAATCATAAATTGCAGATTTTAATAATGATTACCTGCCCGTCTAATCCATACAATCAATTAATTCATACGTCTTTGAAGATCACCAGACTCTCTTCCCATAAAAAAGTTTCAACGTCATCACTTCAGCTTTTTCTGTTCCCGTTAGGTGATCGAAACGAGAGATAAATGATAATGAAACGGAAAATTGACCTAGTCCGCGTGCGGAAAAACCGTACTACGCAGCTTCTCGTTTGTCTTCCTCTATTCCGCGACAATAATCATGATACCGACCTAATTTGAGGAAGCGCGCGTTTCTTCTTCATTATCCACGCCCTCTGTTTGAAACAAATTCACCTTCACTTCTTCATTTTCAATTTTCGCTTTCTCTTTTGACTTCCATTCCTCATTCGATTTTTCACAATTCATTCCAGAACCAATGAAGCGGCTTTCATTGCTTTTATTACTGGTAATAGGTGCTTATGCTGAAGATGAAAGTACTGATAAGCCAGCGCTTATGCAACGATTAGTACAGTCACTTCCACAAATTCCCAATGTGATCAAAGGACAAATGGAGGGAAAGCCAGATGAGTTGAAGTAAAAGCTTGTATTTTTAAATTATTCTATATCTCGTTCTTTAGGAAAATGGTTTCAAACATGCTGGGGGATGGTTTGTTGAGTCAGTTGGTTGTAAATCCGCTTGGAGTTGCTGAAAATATGGGCGTCCCACTTCACGACTTGGGAATTAATAAGACGGTGCTAGAGAAGAATATCAAGCTGGGAGGAGGCAATGAGACAAACGGAGCTGCCGCTGCTGCTTTCAACTTTTTAGATGCTTTGTGAGTTACGAACTTTTTGGGGGACAATATTTTTTTAGGATTCAGAAGTTTTTGTTTAGTGTAAGGTCAAACTTTAAATCAGTGTTCCAAATATTTTGTACTATCTCATCTGACTAGCACAAACTTCCTGAACCTCTTAGATTCGATTTCTCATAGCTCAATTAGTTAGATATACAGTGTCGGTCCAGAACATACACAAAAAAGTTTTTCAGTTAATTTTCTGCCATTTTGACCGTTTTCGGGAATCTGATTTCTTTGAAAATTTCCTAAGGTGTGAAACAGACCTAGATTGAAACTTTGAAATTACAGCATTTTTAAGAAATTCAATGAAAAAAAATCAACAGAAAAGAAGTGTTCGTATATCTGTAATGTGTGAGAGACCTAAATAGACTAAAGCAGCAAAGCAATCCTATTACATTCGAATAAATTACAGTACCACCCAGCCACCGACCACCAAATCGCAGAAAATGTATGTTGATGGTGTCGAAGTGAAGGATTGGGACAGATACGCTAGAAAACACAACCTTGAAAACCTCGGATTCACCACAATTGCTCCACCAACGACAACCGTTCAATTGAGCCCTGAAAAAATTGCCGACGTTGTACTCCAAAGACTGAAAAATCGCGAACCAGTGGTTGAGGCTCCACGATCCAACCCAGACATTTCGAATTCTTTGGATATGAATTTAATTGATCCAAGAAGAGTCGCAGAAGTAAATTCTTTGCTCAGAAGAGCCCCACAAAGATTTGAGAACCCACCAGCGCCAATGAACTCAATGGGGCCAATGGATATTGGACCGCCGGGATTCGTTCAATCGCTGGACCCAGCCATTGATGAGGTCGTCACCAACCTTCGCACCAAGGGAGCGTATGGGCTCAACGTTGATGTAATTTTTAATTTATAACTAGTTGCTCTAATTTTGATTGAGCTTCAGGATGTGAAACGCCTCCAGAACATCCTACAAACCTACGAGCAAACCCTTCAAACTAAAGAACTTCTATCCAGACGTAAACAGTTGGAAGTTCTTCAGACTGAGCTCACCGAGCAACGCAAAAGAATTGAAGTACAGAAGAAAATGGAAGAGGAGTTGAGAAAGAAGGTTTTTTGGGAAATCTAACGGATTTTTTTTCAAATGGTATTGTTTCAGGAAAAAGAGCTAGAAGAAGCAAAACAAAAAATGGAGCAGCAACTTAGAGAGCAGTTGAGCAGCTGGCACAGTTCGTTCGGACCAAGTCAACCAGTGAGAGGGAAAACTGTATAAAATAATTTTGAATTGTGATAATTTCAGAGAGCTCCAGTGCCACTCTCAGCCGAATTGCAACTCGAAAACTTGGTAATAACTATCAAAAAGTTCATAAATCTGCATTAAAAAATTTTTAAGGGTTCCCCACCAGCTCCACCAGCCTCGATTGCTCAGTCTCCACCAGAAGTTTTGGAGACTACAGCCGAGCCACCAGCGTTCCAAGTGGCTTCCCACGAACGCAAGCTTGCTGAGGAGCGCGAGGACATTGTTGAGCAACAAATGATGCCAGTACCACCACCAACTAAAATCAGCAGCTCTCTCAGAAATCATATTCGCTATTCGCCAACACCTGTCGTCACTGAAGCCACTCCAGTGATTCCACCAAGCACTTCAGTTGATAGAGAAGAGTGAGTGGAATACGGTCAATGTATTTTTCAGTGGATGTTTTGTCTTGAGCTCTTTGAGTCTGGAGCTCTTTAAAATTTTCGATGGGTGTAAAACAGACCTAGATTGAAAACCTTGCATTCACAGAATTTTTTGAAGATTCATTCCATTTTCGATTGCTGAAAGACACCCATTTCTGGTTTTTTCCGTTCTAGGTCTGTTTTACGTCATCCAAAATTATCAAAGGGAACGGGACCTTGATAGTCTTGCTTCTGACTCTTGAAAATGGTTAAAATGACTAAAAATCTGCTGAAAAATACTTACATATATATATTTTTTTGATAGAATGTCAAATAGATTCAAACTTTCAGTGATGAATTCGTATCAAAATGCAATTGTGAGAAAATCTCTCTAGACAAAATGAATGGAAAATGGCTCATGGCTCTTGCCTCACCAAATGTTGTTGAGATGGTTCAACACAAGGCCAACGAACTTTTGGACAAATCTGAAACCCTATCTTGCTCTCGATTCGATGTCTCCGCTGGAAAACAATCTGTCGCTGCTCAAGATGCTAGACTAATCTGGCAATTCAGAACTCAAGGAGCTCCAAAACTTTTCCGACTTCGCGGAAGCGCACTGACCATGGATCATGAGTCGGTCAGAGTTCAAATGGCAGACTTCCAAGGGGATAACTTCAGTTTTCCATGTAAGTCAATTTTTTTTGATTTCAAAAATTTTCCATGAACTCTTTCTATCTTACAGTCTGTGTTTTGAAATCCGGCGGAACCTCTTCGGCCTACGAGCATCTTCTTGTTACCAACAGTCAAGGAAACTGCAAGGATGTTGCTCTTCTGGTCAGAGATCCACAAGAATTCTTCGACAACCCGAATAAGCAGCTCCAGAAGTACCTGAAGACTGTAAGTTGTAATTCTTCTGTGAAACTATCAGAACCATTCTGTTTTCAGAGAATTTCCAAACGAGAAATGAACTCTCTGAACGTCGTCAATTTTGGAGACTGTTAAGAAAAGACTCAGAAAAATCAATAACTTCCCCTAATAAATGTACAAATTAATAAGCGAGACAACCAATTAAATTGTTTTATTGTTGGTTTTGTTGACTATAATAATAAAACTATCAATAGAAACTTTCAATATTATAAAAAAACTAGTGGAGAAAATAAAGCAACAAAAGATGTGATACAAGAGGCAGTAAAGCACAGAGAGACAGAAATGGGTGGCAATTCGACATGTCTATAAGCACGACATAGAAGGGAAATATCAGCAGAAAATGAGAAAAAGCACTTGAATGACAGTGGTAGCAGCCTTGGCAAAAACGGCGGCAAATGCAAACGAGCTAAAGACCATATTGATGCCAATGAGCCAAGTGAACAAAAAGTAGACAAAGAAACTACATCCCATGATAGCCCACCAAGTTGGATATGGAATCATGAAGAGAATAGTGTAGAGAGACAGGAAGGAAATGTTAAACAGGGAAACGTGGGCTTCGTCGTATGGAATCACGTTGAACAGGTAGTGGATTTGCCAGATGGTGATTAGAAGAGAGCAGACGAATTCGAAACAGTGCTCACTGACAGTGGTAAGAATACGATCACGCGACTCGGCGCGTTGTTGTCTAGCACGTCTCTCTTCGTTCTCCTTGCGATGTAGCTCTTCGAGAATTGGCTGAAATTAGGTTGTGTTTAGTTGGAGAATCATGTAAGATATCAATATTTTCTTGAATTTTAACTATACTTAATAGCTTTCGAGGTTTACACGGAAACTAAAAATTTTCGGCTGATTGATGTAATCTATTCACGTCGCGGACCATGTCTGTAGACCGCCCTTTTATCGATAGTTTTGTAACCAAGAGGAAATTTCTAGTTTCAGTTTTAATGCATATATTTTTCATCAAAAAACCTCTACCAATTCTTTCCAGCCGGATCAGGTTGATTCAATTTCGCAATTCAGTTCGGGAGCGATTATGTTTAATTTTCGGTTTTTAATTTTGAAACCCAATGAAATCACATGGTCACAGTTAGAGTAATATGTTCTAGTTTCCAGGAATAATTAGAGGAGGACACATGACTCAAAAAACACGAAATTTGTGATTTATCAAAAAAAAAACGCAAGCACTACAGTCGGACAACAATCACGAAACTTTTAAATTTATAGAAAAAGCTTTCAAGCAGAAATTACTATTCAGTGGGGTTCGCACTAACTACGGCAAGTTCCGATGTTATCATTTCGTCTACCTCAAATTCCGACTTTAAGTTACAAGTCGACGGCTGAGTAGCTGGAATTTTCATTCTATTTTCGAACTGCTCGGAAGTTTTTTGACAGGCGCAACAGTGGATCATGCGTTTTCACTTCTGCCTTTTTAAGATTTTCAATGAAACACTCACCCTGTTCTCTTTGGTGTAATAACAATTTTTGATGTTCTCGCGTCCAGGCGATGGCGCTACCATATTCCTCATCCGATTCGTCCGATACATCATTCGACGATTTTCGCACTGTCCAGTGTACGGAGTAGCCGTGTAAGCAGTCGATTTCGGTTGATCAGCAAGAGCCGTTGGCTTCATGGCGGATTGTTCTGGAAATCGAACAGTTGAGTTAGATCCGCTCCATTAGAGAATGCTCACCAGTAGTCAGCGAAACCTGTTCTGTTTTAACTTGGTCCTTTGGAGTGCTACACGCCAGAATTTTGTTTCTCGCAATTGATGATGGTGCTGATGTTGGGAAGTTTAATGAAGAATTCTGATTGGATCCTGCCAAGATGCTTAGATCATCGGCGTAGTAGACATTCTCATCATTCCAGTCTTCGTTGTGTACACAGAAAAATATTGAAATTAAAGTGTTTTTAAAGGGGAAAAATGGGACCGAGTTGGGCGACTATCTGGAGAATTTTTAGGTGCATGAGAGTGTGGCAAAGTTTTGAGAAGAAAGCCACGGTGGAGAAAAGGCAGCGCAATTTTACAGCAAATCGCCCAACATTCTGGGAGTTGTTATAGATTCATATTATTTGAGAGTATTAATTTTTGGGTAAAAAAGCCAGAAAGTGCTTCTAGATTAGGTTTCAGAAGAAACGGTTAGAAAAAAGTCTCTAGATGGTTATCTAACATCCATAATCTACTGCCAACAGCTGTCTTCTGCGCGTCGGGAGGTCTATTAGTGGATTAAACCGTTTCTACCCACCTGTCACTGTCGCATCCCAATTCGAATGTACTCAACGATGTCGGATTGCCGTCCATGAAGTATGGTTCTGTAACCGGCCTGTTAATATTCCAAAAAAAACAGCAAATCACATGCAATATGGAGGTTAGTGAGGCACAAGAACAAAACAAAGGGGAGAAACGATGAAAAAGGGCGAAACGAATTCCAAAACATACCAGGTGCGTCAGCCTTCTTTGTCTTGCGCTGCTTGGATGATGTAAAAGACGAGAATGAATGCTGGCCAAAATTCAAGCAGCTCATTCTATGTATATGGTGTTCGATCGAGGCGAGTCGAAAAGAAATGACTGGTTGATTGACAGGGAGCACAAATGAAGGAATGAGACGAGAGGAGGTGGACCTCTTACGTATTCGAAAATGCGTGCGCGCGAATACGCACAAGACCCTGCTGCAGTGGTGTTTTTGGCTTAGGTCGATCGATACGAGCGCATATGGAAGGTCATAAGAGAGAGGAGGGACCATTTATTGGTTCATTATTAGTGGTGATTCGCAGCAGACAGCATGTAAATGATGGAGACGCGAGACAGAAAATCGAGAAAAAAAATGAGAGGGGGAAGGAGAACAACGATGGGAACAACGATATTTGGGTGTGCTGTTGAGAAGAAGAAAAATACATATGTAAGGTGCTGTTGAACACGTACGTCGAGAAGAGGATATCTGTGAGTGGGGATTGGGGAGGTGGATTTATATGAAAAAAGAGCTCCTAACATGATCTAACTGGGAACAACTGAAAACGGGAAAATTTAAAAAAAAAACAGGGGTACAAAAAACAATTGCGTTTGTCATAAAATGCTTTAAAACATGAGAAAATGCAGAAGTGAAAATTAAAAGCTGAGAAATATATTTAATCCAAACTTCAAATGGCCTTGGCCTCCTCCTCGGTGAGCTTCTGAAGTTCAACCTCTGCCTTAGCATCTGATGTAGTAACACGGTTCAGCTCCCATTTGCGGAGAGCTCCAAGTGGAATGCACATAGCTCCACTGATAGCCATCAATGCTCCCATGACGTAGAAGGATGTATCGAAGTTTCCGGTGTAATCCTTCATGGCTGCTGTAAATTTATTCACGTTTATCTTGAGATTTAAAAGAATTTTAAAGATTACCAGCCATTGGCGATCCGATAACAGCACCAACGCCCATGAAAGTGAGGAGGATTCCGAAGGCGTTGCTCATCTTTTCCAATCCGATCAACTCGAGGACAATCACAGAACGAAGAGCGGCGAAGCATGCGACTCCAACTGAGAATGGGAAACAGAAAGCCAAGAAATGCCAATAGGCAGTGTAGAATGGAACAGTCATGGTGGCGAGTCCAGCCAAAATGAGAGCGATGTTGTTCACAACCAATGCAGAGACTTCTGGACGGTCAGCAATGTATCCGCAACCGATACGAGCAATGATGTTTAACACTCCGATGAGGGAGACGGTGAAGGATTTCTCGGCGACAGTAAGACCTTCGATCTGAAATTGATACGGGTGAGAATTGTTACATTTAAAATACCGGTTAATAAAATGTACAAAAAGGTATTTTTCAATTGATTTTGATTATTTTCAAGAGTCTGGACCTCGACTATCATTTTTCCGATGACCTAGATAGAAAACCTCGCATTTATGGAACATTTTGAAAATTCCGAGTTTTTCAGATCTTACCCATTTCTAAAAGATATTTATTTTCCTGTTTGCAATTCAAAAACGGGCCAAAGAGAGTGTCTCTCAGAAATCTAGGAATTTTTAAAAACTCTGGGAATTCAAAGTTTTCAATCTTGGCCTGTTTTTCACCCTCCAAAAATTTCAATGTGATTGAAAACTGAAAAGTAGAGCTCCAGACTCCGTAAAATAGTGAAAATAGTCGATAATCAACTGAAAATTTTATTTTTGTAAACCGTGAACACTCTACTCTAATAGACCGCCACTCAAAATTTTGATTTCAAATTTGAGACAGTTTATCTCGGTTTCTATAGAAAATATCAAAAAGTTGTCTACTGAAGAATATTTTAACTTGATATCACAAACATTGATCAGTTGACCACTTTTTGATATCTCTCACAGAAAATCAGAAGTATGAGCTCAAAGTTTACGGTTTGGGTGGCGTTCTATTAGAGTGTTCACGGTACTTTTTCTACCTGATCTGTATCATTCTGACTCACCTTGTCCAAATGGTTTCCAAGATAGATGAATGGGACGTAGAAACAGCAAAGAGTCAGAGTTCCCGAGAAAGCAAGAAGCAAGAACGATGGTGATCCGAGGAGTTGTCTGTCCAAAAGATTCTTCAATGCTTGCCCAATATCTCTCATGACACTTTTCTCTTGAACGTGCTGGATGGTTCCATCATCGGCAACATTGAGCTCCAATTTGGAAAGGTATTGCTGTGGAGTTCCTTCTTTCAAGTTCTCGCGAAGATTCTTCAAATGCTCGGCAGCTTCTTCGCGATTCACTGAAAAGCGCCAAATCTCATTTTTCTATGCTAAAAACGACAACTCACTGGTTCCAGTGCGGCTTCTCGCGGCAATGTTCGTAGTCGATCCAGTGTAAAAAACATCCATACGAGCCAATGGGCGATTGAGCTCTTCGACATCCTTGGCGACAGCTTCGATGATGCTCTTGACGGATCCGTTGCGATGCTGAAAGGCCGAGCCATTGACAAACTTGACAATTTCTTCGACTTACCACTCCATTTCCGTGCTTTCCAGCGGTGTGAAGCTCCAATGAGCTCAGGAATGGTGTATTGTGCTTGCTGAGAGATGGAGACTCAGGAACCTTGTCTTTGTGCTGTTCATAGTTCTCAACAATCTCAGCAACCTTTTCAATTTGGTCTTGACTGGCTTTCAGTGGGCGGAGGAGAAGAGCAGCGGCAAATCCAGAGATAGTAACGGTAGCGGTGTAGACCAGGAATTGTTGCCAATCTTTTTTCACAAACTCCCAGACCACATCGTTGAGCATCGCGAACACTGTTGTACCAATTCCAGATCCACACACAGCGATTCCAGTGGCCAATGAACGTTTCTTAGCAAAATACTGGGAGATGATGACAATGGCTGGCAGGTACATCATTCCAAATCCAGCTCCAGCGATGAGACCAAAAGTGAGGTAGAGCATATAGATATTTGGTGCTGGGATGGACAGAAGAAATCCAACAGCAGCGATAACCGATCCGGCGAGAGCGACTTGACGGCACCCGAACACATTGCAGAGAGCTGATGCGACTGGTCCTGAAATTAGAAACAATTTTAGTGTATTGAATCATGAGAATAGAGTAATGTTTTTAAGGAAAGTAATATTCATAAAAAAGAAAGGAAATTCCCCAACGCAAAACAAAAATTCTCATGCGCGTCAAATCTAGTGTGTGAGCAGCAAAGTGTGCGTACACCATCACGTCGGGTTGCACTATTTCTACTTTTAAAAGATTTTTTCCGGGCCTAAAAGTGGATTTTAAGCTTACGAAGGGGATTTTTAGAATGACTTTGTCTGCTAGAAATTCAGAATTTCCATTCTGATAAATTTAGTAGCACAAAAATGTAGGAGTGTTGGAGAAGTGATGTGTTATAGAGGTTAAACCAAATTTTTAGTCGCAAAAATGAGTTTCAGGCCATTTTCAGATCGTATTCTTGGCGGTTTTGGAGGTTAGAAACATAAGTATCTGGCAATTCAAAGCGTACAAGAAAGATTTTCGAGTTTTCGAGCATCTTCAAGCCTTCCACCCTCTAAAGTCTCTAGAAATCAAAACCACAAGTTTCATGGAACATTGGCTTATGATTTGCTATTTGGCAAGATAAGACTAAAATTATTCATTCAGATCCATAGCTACCCGACGATACGAGTCGAATTTTTCAAACATTTTCGGGGATTCTCCAACCTTCCGCTGATTTTGAATAATGAATGATCTACTGAATAATCGCATGCGCGTAAAATCTAGTGTGTGTGCAGCAAAGTGTGCTTACACCATCACGTCGAGTTGCACAATTTATTTTTTTTCGACATTTTTCCTGGGCCTAAAAGTGGATTATAAGCTTATGAAGAAGGCTTTCAGGGTAGATATTTTTGCTAAAAATTTAGGTTTGTGACTCTGATGGATATTGAGGCACAAAAATGTAGGAGTGTTTAGGGATTGGAGTTTTAAGAAGGTTTAACTAATGTTGGACAGCTGAAACGTGGTTTCAGGCAATTTTCAGATCATATCTGGCGGATTTGGAGGCTATAAAACAAGGAACACGCTGTTTGAAGCGTTTTTGGAAACATGTTTGCAATGCGTCGAGCTTTTTTATAAAAAAAATCTGAAAACCACAGGTTTCAAGGAGCATTGGATCGTCTTTGGGCAACAGATCCAACTAAAATCTTTTACAGATCCAGGCTATATGACAATTTGAGGATATTTCCTCGAAATTTCAACAGACTTACCAACGAAAAAGTAGAATCCGGAAAGAATGGACATTGTCATAGCAGCAGAGGCTTCAGAGATGTTGAACCCATGAACCCATGCTGGTTGAAGGATCTTTCCGACTGTGAAGATGACACCATCAACGACCATGTTGATCAGGAAGGAAGAAGCAACGATTGCCCATCCATATCCACCTGGAATTTCAAATTTAAGGGGGTTTCTTGAGTTTTTCTTCTGATGAAGACGTCAGAATAGCTGAAGTGAAAAAACGATCTAACCATCTGGCGGAGCAACGAATCCCACTTCTTCCAACTCCTTCTCCACTGTTTCTGGATCCTGAGGTCCCAGTTTCTTCTCCTCTGTGTTGTGTTCACCGTCGTGCTCGCCGTCCGTCATTTCGTCCGACGGTTTGTTGGTACCAAAGCTGAAAAAATAAAGATTTTTGTGTTTCATATCGAATGGGAGAAAAACTGATGATGATGATATGCTAGGGCAAATGATGGATGTGAAAAGATAACGGTTGAATATATTTGATATGTGGAAAAATGAGAGAGAAGAGATAGGTGACAAAGGACGTGGAATCTCGGTGTTGAAAAATGGAAAAATGAATACCGGCTTTTAGAGATATGCATATGTCTATTGTTCCTAATCTAATTCAAAAACGAGAAACTGGGATTGTAAAACTGTCGAAAAACTACCTTATTCGGGAGGTGGTTGGGGTTGTAAAGTGTGCGTCATGCCTATGATGATAATGGTGTTAATGGCTTATCAAAATTAAAGTAAATAGTTGAAAAACTTGCTGACGGAAGGGGTTTTCCCAAAAAAAAATTGCAGGAGTCAGAATTATTTGTGTAGTTTAAGTGTAGTTTGTGTTAGAACTTTTTAAAATTGTTTTAAGCAAACTACCGTATTTTTTCAAAACAATTTGTGTTAATATTTTTTTATTTTATCAACTTTTCGGTAGTTTCGCGGGGTTTTTAGAAGTAAATCGTTCAAAAAAAAAGCCGAGAAAATAGAAGAAAATAGTTGAAAGAGAATACAATACCGGTCATAAATATTTATATAACAACGAATTTCCAGTTGATTTTCGGCCACTCTGTCAATTTCCAAGATCCTGGAGCTCGGTTTGTCCAGTTTTCGATCAGTTTGAAAATTTCAGAGGAAGTGAAACAGAGATATATTAAAAGCTTTGCATTCACATATTTCATCAAAAATTCCTAGTATTTCAGCGATTTGTGATTTCTGTAAGACACCCCGTTTTAGCCTGCTCTGTACTGAAAACGTGAAAAGAATCAGGTGTCATTCAGAAAACGAAAAATCGCTGAAAATTTAGACCTTTTTCAAAAACTTATGTGAATGCAAATTTTCCAATTAAGCTCTGTTTTGAACCCTCCGAAATTTTCGAAGTGATCGGAAACTTGACAGTCGAGTTCCAGACTTCTACAAATGGTAGAAACGGCTAAAAACACGTTTTTGTATTGCTCATTAACCGGTACTGTAGCCAATTTGAATAAAAAAATTGAGGTTAGGAATATCTAATGACTTATATTTTTCACGTTTCAGTACAAAAACAAGCACTGTAGTCTATCCTCACCTAGTAATCATATGAAAAAAAGTACAATTTGAAAAGTGCATTCTCTGCTACAAAAATTTGATCACTCACTAAAACAAAAGACGTCTTATCAAGTGCAAAACCGTAAAAATCGAAAAACCAATATTATCTGAACTTTTTCGCGTGAAACGCTGTTTTTAATCTAGGGATTACATGCCACTCTTCGTGTGCTTCTTTCATACACCGGGCGGGGGATTATCAAGTCTAATCTGTTGCGTCGGTGTCTTATCAGCTATTCTGTCCCGTTAAAGTGTACGTGTCCAGTAGTGGTCAAGCGGGAAGAGAAGAAAGGGAAATGTGGGAAAAGTGGGAAGAGGAGTTTTGCTTATGCTTCGCTTACACTTCGTAATATGATCGCGAGCGTTTGATTTGTGTGTGGAATTGGAAAACCGAGATTATGACGCTATCTCAGACTAGATCTACCGCGCTTTCAGCTCCCATCTGTTTTATCACTGTCTGGAATCTTTTGCAGTGATCTTTTGTAGTGATAAACACTTCAAAAAGCTAAAATTTGGAATCTAGTTTTTCTCCTTGTATCCTATTACTCTCCAAAAAGTGCAAGAAATAGATTTGATTGACAAGAAAATGGGGGAAAGGAAGCGAAAAAATCGAATAAACTGAAAACAAGAGTGATTTATCTATTGACCTCCCTCACACATGACACCAAATGGCTAGTTCTTATGTTCTTTTTTTATCTTTATTATGTTTGCCTTTAGAAATATGACGAGAGAGAGGAAGGAAAAAAAAGCGAACGTGTCGGTATTTTGACTACTGGAAGCAGGACAAATAGTGGATAACCTTCAAAAAAGTACCAGATTTCAATATTTTCGTACTGTGAGCGGAACATGTGAAAGTTCTAAATTGAGGGAATCAGAATAGGAGAAAGATGGTATGATAAAAGTGTCAATTTTTGGTTTTTATTGCCTACAAAGTGTTATCAACTGTAGACTTTGTAGAAATTAGCTACAGTAGTTATTGGTGTTTGACTTCGACTAATGAATAATTCAAAAAAAAATACAATATGCAAATGAATAATTGAATAAAATACTCAATTGTATAATAATACAGAGCTACAGTTTTTTTTCCAAATGAGCCCTTTTTTCAATTAAGTGTGGAGGAAACATAGCACAACATAATCAAATTGAAACATCTTGAAGAGTGACCTCAAGTGATGCAAACGAGATGTGCCATCTGTCCACAGATGAGGTTAGAGGGAGATGGAAAATGTCTAGTTGCAAAAATGAGGGAGGAAAGTGGGATTGGCGCCCGCAACCTATTACGACCAACACATGGCACGTGACAGGTGGTAGGAATAAAGGAGTAGAAATGAGAGAGGCTCATTCGACTTTCATGAATATATATTGGGACAAGAGAGGCATTGTTTCTGACACTTCGTCTTCTGACACGCGTTTTGGTTTTATTAGATTGCACTTTTGAGATACTAGCAGGGCTTTTGATTTCAAATAGAATTCTCTACCAGAAAAACTAATATTCTCCTTGTGTAACAAAAAAAGTTCCTAAAAATCCTGATTCAAACGACTTTCCCATTATAGAAAAGAAAGCATTGTCAGGAAAATGGTGGAAACGTTTTTTTTCTCGAAATTTTAATGCTTGAAAATCTCTGATCGGAAGGTTAAAGAAATTTATAATTTATGGTTCAATTCAAGGTCCTAGAACTTCCAATCACAAGAATTCTGGATCAGACTGCGCACGTTTAGATTCGCAATAAAACCCAGAGGATTATTGGAATAAATTAATTAAAACTTTTCTCCGAAATTTAAAGTCCTATGTATTAAGAAAAGAGCGAAAACTCAGAAAGGTCCAAATGCACATATTTTTTTCTAATTTAGTAAATTTATAAAATTTTCGCAACCGAGCAATTACCGTACTTCGAGCTCGATTATCGCGGTTCCTGTCACAGATATTATAAAGTTGTCAACTGATAAGTTTTTTATCATAATATCACCAATAATTTATCAGTTGACAAAAAATTAAGCTCAAAGTGTACGCATAGTAGACGAGAAGCAGTCCGGATTGTAGATGAGAAGGGACACGCACACTTTGAACTCAAATATATTGATTTCTAAGAGAGATATCAAATATTTTAAAACTGATAAATTGATTATCATGATATTGTCAATGTTTTATTTGTTGACAAGATTTTGATATCTTTCAAAAGAGCCGAGATAATCAAACTCTAACGTGACATTATGAGGGTCTTTCTACAGGTTATACGGCATTCAATAAGATTTTCTTTAATTTTTGAATTAGTTAAAGTAGAACCAAAAAACTTGTGAATCTCAAACTCGCCCACCCGACACATACAAAAATGAAAGGGTGGTCTTTCTCTATCACACAATAGGTGGTGTGACATTCACATTTCGGTCGGCTCTTTTGTTCGCCACAAAGAAACTAAAACGTCTCCCATCCATTATACCTAGATGGTATTTTTTGAATATTGATAAAGTTTCGCATGACGGCAAGAACGGTGGTGGGTGGTCGGAGCCAAATAGTACAATGCATGAGAGCTGGTGAAATTGTTAGGAATATAATAAGAGGAGGATGGGGAGTTCATAAGAGAAAGATTGAAAAAGCAAACAATTCGGTTTCGTGTATGCAACATCATGCAAACTGCAAACCGATCGGGCAAAAGATTCAAAATATTCGATTTCTTCAGATGTACTGTACTTTGATTTAAAAAAAAGGAAAAAATCGTTAATGTAGATTTTTAGTTGTGTGAAGCCCTACTTTTTAGCATCACACTTTGAGAACTATGTATCTACAAAGCTTCTAATAATATAGAAAAAAGTCAAACATAAATTTTAGAACAAAATATAGTCAGCTGTATCCATTCGCCCACATTTTGTTGTGTTTATACAGCTTCAGTTTTTCAACAACGGATAGATTGTATACAATCTCAAAAACCGCAAAAAACTTACAGATGTCCACAAATGAGAGCGATCGCGTAGGTGATGCGTTGAATCGTGTGGATGAACCCAATAGTTATACAAAATATCAGGCTCATTTTTCAATTCAGAGCTCTTATTCAGAGCGGAATAATAGAAACGTGCCGGCGCTTGTTTTTCAACAGACAAAAAATATCTGCAGCAGGGACAATCAAAATAAATCGATGTTTTTTTTTCGAAATCGTATGTATCAGCACCGCGTCCACAGTAGAACTCGTCACTTGCTCTGATGGGAAATCTGTGCCCCTCAGATTTTCATTCGTGTTGATGTCCTCTGTCGATGCAATTTCGACACCCGCTAACACAACCATAAACGACATTGCACCGAAAGAGATAGTGCATCATCAGAAGGGACGAAGAGAATCACGATGGGCACAATGCGCAAGTCGACGATGAGCCAGAAAAGGTTATATATAGCAAATGAAGAAACGGTGAAATCACACAACGTACTACAAATCCACATTTCTGACGCAACAGCAGATTCCGAAGCGAGATTCTTTTGGAAAATTCAATCAAATCTAGAAAGATCTAATTGTATGTGTATTTTAGACAAAAAAAAAATTGTGGCTTCTTATTCAGCAAGGAATGAGAAAGTGCAAAAAGGAAGCTGGATAATGCAGCTAACCGAAAAGAACTAATTGAATTTGGGAATGACTTGTTCTTTCTAAAAATGTCACACGCGACAGAACAAATGAAAAAGAAAAAGCAAATCGAATTTTCTACGCTATCATTTTTTTGCAAAAGATAACTAATTGGGTCCGAACGAAATATGAATAATTATAGTGGATGTTCCAGAACCCAAAAGTTGTGGAGCGAATATTTTAAAATGATTAATTTGGGAAAACAATTGGGTTCGGTATTGAATTTTTAGTTTTTTAAATTATTGAAAAAAAGCTTCACGTCCTCAATTCAAAATTACTCTAGATGAGAGTCATTTTTTATTCTTAACAGTTCTTCTTAGCTTTGAAGTGCAAATACCGTGAACACTCTGAATTGAAAAACCAAGGTTGAGCCAATTTATCTAAGTTTCTAAATGAGATATCAAAAAAGTAGTCAATTGACAAAATATTTTTGATATTATAATAAACGTTTTGTCAGTCGACAAATTTTTTTATTTGTTTACGGAAAATGAGATACGGTAACGGTCAATGGGATGTAAATTCGGTAGATTTTTTGCCATTTTGACCATTTTCAAAAATCTAGAGCTCGGCTGTCCAGTTTCCAGCATACTTGCAACGGGCCGGGCCGGGCCGGGAGTTTTTCAGAGTTTTCAGGGCCCGCCCGTCTCGGCCCGGATTTTCGGAAAAAATTTTTTCTGTCTTTTCAGAAATTGTTTTGGGGTCAACAGAAAAAAATGGACAATTTTTCTGACAAGAAAAAAAATTTTCAAGATAAGAGCGTGAAAAAAATAGTTCTTTTACAAAAAAATTTGACAAAATTTCTGAAATTTCAAATATGGAGAACCGCCGGGCCGGGAACTGATTTTGCAAGTATCGTTTCCAGGACACCTTATTTCACCTTATTTCCACGTTTACAGTACAAAATGGGGCCAAGAACACTTCTTTTAGAAGTTGCAAAAATCTGAAACTGAAAATTTTCAAAAAATTATGTTAATGCAGATTTGACAGTACGTCCGTTTTACACCATCCAAAATTTTCTAAGTGATCGGAAACTTGACAGCTGAGCCCCAAGTTCTTGAAAATGACAAAAGAAGCAAAACGGAAAAATGATTCTGCGTGCTGCGTGAGTAATACTGTACACCGTCACGTCAAAATGCATACGGTAACTCAGAAAAAAGTCAAAAGTCTTCTGCTTCACCGTTCTAGTTTCAGAGCTAGTATCCTAACTGAGGTAAAAATTATTTTTAAAACAAAAACTGGGAAAATTGGGGCTCACGTTTCGGAGGGTACAGCGATTTGGGGGTACAATGGGGTAAAAGTGATTGGAGGGTACGAAATCCACAATTCCGGGATATACCATTTAAAACTAATCTGGTATTATTTTAAAATTTGGAAATCTTTTTTAATGATTGATGGGAAAATTGATGAAAAAAAGGCAACAAAATTTTTATGCCATAAAAGATTGCATAATAAAACTATCTTTTTCAAAAAAATGATATTCAACCCAACAAACAGAATGTGTCATTCGCTCTGCAGAACCTGTGAAATCTGACGCAATGAAACACAATGAGAGAGAAGCAAGAACGGGAAGAAAAAAGCGGGCAGGCAAAAATGTGAAAGATTAGGTCACTGTGTGACGGCAGAAAGAAACTCATCTTCTTTCACTCCGCCACCCACTGGTCAAATCATCTTCAGTTTCTCTCTCTCTCCACTGATCTCTTCTTTTCACTTTGAAACTCTTGTTCCTCTACTCGCAACGTGGGATGCTTTTGTGTGTGTAATCGGACTGGGATCGTTGATTGAAATTGAGGGAACGTAGTAGTTGCGTGTGTGAGTGTCCGTATTGCACCCCACGAGGTTCTGTGTAACAAAGAAATATTTTATACGTTCCGTTACAGTTTTCATGGAATGACAGTTGAAGAAAAATGGAAGTGGAGCCTATATTGTTGAAAATTCATTCAAAAACCTTTGATTACACTTAAAAATATCACAAAGAACAAACACAGAAAGAGCATGAGTAGCACAAAATAGAACCATACTATGGAAATTTCCGCGGTTTTTCGACGGTGCGAAGGATGGTCTTTACAGCATTTCTGATGTTTTCCGGTCCACAGAAACAGTGTGCAGCATTGTTTTTGTCCGGCGTGAAGTTGATGAAGCTGAATTCCTTCGCATTCTTCTTCAACGTCGTCATCCTCGATTTGAGTGGTTATTGTGATGACTGGAAGGGAATCTGAAAATAATTTTTCATATATTTTAGCGGGACCTGCCATAATTTTTTTTGGTATCGATATTTAAAGACCAACTAATTCAGATATGGTCGGACTCGACAAGCACTACAGAATGTATGTATTTGGAAAACTGTGTCATGTCCATAAACAAAGTTTAGAGCCGTAAAGAGGCTGATCCGGGCCTTGGCTGAAAATTTTGGCTCTTTTTGTCTGTTCGTTGTGTTTATAGACAAGATACCATACTTGTAAAATTCCGGGCCGCCCCGCCAAGGCCCGGGTCCGGTCCGACCCGAGCCCGGCTCCTGTATTTTTGAGTCAAATTTTGAGCTCTTAATACAATTTTTTCCAATTTTTTTGATTTTTTTTGAATTGTTTCTCTGTTTGATCAAAAAATCGAAAAAACTCGAAAAACATTTTTGATCGAAAAAAAATCACATAAGGGTACCTCCTTATGTGTTTTTGAAATTTTCAAAACTTTTGAAATGACGGTCCGGGCCGGACCTCGGAAATTCGGAAAAAAAGCTCGGCCCTGCCGGCCCGTTACAAGTATGCAAGGTACAAGTTTTCAAATGTTATCATTGTGTTGTACTTGTCAATTTCTATCATATCTAACTTTATTGGTCCAAAAATATTGATTCTAAAAGAAGTTATGGCAAGGCCTGGTTTACAAGTATGTCTTTTCATGTAATAATATTTGAATTTCCCACTTACTGCGACTTGGTGCATGACTAGCACTTGGAAATGACACGGAGTGTTCCATATTGAGAAATCTGAAAATGTTCCTTCTTAATAAAAAACTGAATTAAAAAGACCCACCAATCAATAGAAAATAAGAGTAGCTCAGGTTTCAATATCTCTCCAGAGAGGCCCAATTTTTCGAAAAATTAATTGATGAGATGACGAGACGGGACGCAACGCACACGCGTTGCGTTTCAACGTATGACAAAAAGTTTTTGAGGTGACAAAAGCACCAAAGCTCTTTCTCTGAACAGTAGGTGGCCATCAACAACTTTTTGACATCAGTTTTTACTTTTTGGTTTGAAGAGAATGGATGGGGAGAAGTGTCAAAACAAAGTCACAACTTTTTTATTGGGAAGATCCGAGGATTCTAGTATTGTTGAGATTGGAACTTTCAACATTCTTTTCAAGTCTTGTCTGTTTTGTGTTTTGGCGAATCTTTGTTTCCAGATTCATTTAGATTTCTGCTCACTAGCCCTAAATTTGACCTTTGTCTAGAAAATATTTATCTCTTTTCTTTTTTTACTTTTTACCCATTCATTTTCCTGAAGTTCTTTTGCAACACGAAGAGCATGAATTGTATCCGTTTCCCCTCCCATCAAGTCCAAACGATCACACATGACTGATTGTCATTATTACTGCAGTACCCAGGGAGAAGAGATATAAGTGTTCTCTTCCTCTGTTACATGTCACTAGGGATCAGAGATCAGCAGAATTCTTGTGTCAAATTCACATAAATCTTGTGTCCATTGAGAATCAATTGAATAAAAATTTTTGCAATAAAAATTTGATGATATGAAATTTGTACCGTCTCCAACAAGATTTAGATTATAATCAATCATTCTTTGTCGCATGCGCCAAATGACCATACCTGAACTATTTCTTAGGAATTTTATTTAATCAATATTAGAAGAATAGGGCATAGGGATTGTCAACTTCACACACTTTATTTTGAAAAAAAATTTAATACAAAATCAGATAGAAAAATGTTCCAATAATAGAACGACTCCTTTACAGTTCAACTTTGAGCCAATTTATTAAAACGTGAAAAAGTGCGTCTTCCAGAAACCATCAAATAACTGAGAAACTAGGAATTTTTTGAAACATTCTGTCAAAATTTTCAATCTAGGTCTGTTTTACACCCTCTAAAATTTTAGACCCGATAGAAAGTTTGACAGCCGTGCTCTAAACTCTTTAAAATGCTCTAAATCGTTTTGTCTGTGTCTCATTGACCGGTACTGAATACGGACTCATAGTTAATGGTTTGAGAGTCATTCTATCAGAGTGTTTTCAAAAAAAGCAAGAATATTCGAGAGCAGGGGGGAGTTACATTAAAAAACAAAAAAGTTATATGCAGAAAAGCCAAATATACAGTAGATAGTCCGAAATAAGAATGAAGCGAGTGCGTACTACATGAAGTTGACTCTAATTTTTTTTTGAGTTTTTTGTTGAATCATGGAAAGTAGAATGGTTGGCGAGTCCCCAATTTTATTTACTCGTCTGTAGAGCTCTTTGGGTCCTGAAAAAAGATAATTAGGTTAGAGCTAAGTAGATGTGAACTTTGAATATTCAAGTGGGAGATTCAGAGATTGCTGATGAAAATGTTTATTCATTTTCGAGCGGAAAACACCAAGAATTAAAAAAGTGATTAAATATTTAATTAGAGAACCTTCACCCCATTACATCAAAATCGATCAAACTACCTTTTCGAAAATACGCTTTTTAGCCAGTACTGTACACGGGTCAGGAATCGGGGTTTTTGTTTCTGAAAGTCTAATAATAGGTTACTGTAGTCAGGATTAGTTTCAAGTTAGCTTCTTTTCAGGATTGACACCATAAAATAAGGCTCCAGAATTGACGCTCAAACCGTATTCATCAGTCTCCCCATACAAAACATTTTTTTTGTGATTTCTTGGATACTCACCTTGTTCTCTCTTTCTTCCACTGCTTCAGCCTCTTCCTTGGCTTTCTTGGCAGCATCGCGCTGCACGATCTTCTCCTTGAGGAGATCCTCGACGAAATGAAGAGAACGGAGATCGACAAGCGGCTGGAGCTCACGGTAGAACATGAAATCGATGTACTCCTCCGAGAAGATGTATCTCCCATCCGGACCGATCTTCTGCTCATCAAGAGTTGGAGCCTTCTTGTTCTTCCCTGAATAAAATACTGATTCTTTTTGTGATTTGTATTTTTTCCCAGCAAATCAGAAACTCCAGTCTCAATTTTCTCATGTTTTGGAGTAGTGCTACAATTATGGGATTTTTATTTCAGTATGACAAATTTTTCTGAAAATCAGACTAGAAAATAACATATCATTATATAGAAGATGTGGGAAGAAAACAGAAATCTTGATTTTAGCACTGAAGGGCTACCGTATACCAGGAAGTAGACTGAAATGGGAATGAGCCAAATATCATAACTACAGTATTCATATCAAAGAATAAATGAATAACACAAAACAAATTTTTCTGTGGATTTTCAGCCATTTTCAGGAGTCTGAAGCTTGGCAATACTCTAAACATATTGACAATACTCTAAACACTCTGAAAATTGAAGAGTTTGTAAAACAGACGTAGATTAAAAACTTTGCATTCACAGAATTTTTCAAAAGTTCCTAGTTTTTTAGCTACTTGCCGATTTCTGAAAGATGGATTTTTCACAGTACAAAATCGGATAGTATGAAAAATTAGGAAATTTCAAAAAATTCTGTTAATGCAAAGTTTACAATCTAGATCTGTTTTACGCCTTCCGAAAGTTTCAAAGTGGTCTGACACTTGACAGCCAATCTCCAGAGTCCTGAAAATGAAAATGCCGAAAATCTACTGAAAAATAGGTTATTGTAAGTGTTATTGGCCGATACTGTAAATTTATAGCAACGATGACAGTCATAGGAAGTTCTTTGATAACTAACAATGTGATAGGCTTGATCACTTAAGTGCATTTTTGAATAAGTATAGAAATTCTTAATTTGGCTTTGATAATTACTGGAAAATTTATATAATGCACATATTGGAATTTCGAAAAGGGTACGGTACGATTCTTAAAACTGTTCACTTACGGTATTGATACTCAATTTGCTTCTCCAATTGGGATTCTCGATTCTCTTGAAGAAGATCTTCCAAAGTCCGATGCGGATTCTTGGCAATCCATTCGTCAGTCTCCCGTCTCTCCCGTTCCACACGACATGTTGGACTCTCTGGCATTTCGCGCTCGGATCTCGGCCGTCCAGTGTACATCATTATCCATTGTGAAATCGGGTCCTGTGTCATTTTTTTCATATTCACGTAAAGCAGTGAAGGATGCACTGGGTTCTTAGGTGGATTTTCGGCTGGAGTATCAGCCTTTACTGGGAGGTCAGATGAAGACGAAGCAGGTAGCTCGGATGAAGACGAAGAAGCAGCTAGATCGGTTGAATCCATAGCTGGTCTGAAACTAGAAATGAAAAAATAAATTTGTCCAGTTTTCTTCTCTTTTCCTCTCCCCAAAAATCTGGCTCCGCCCATTTCTCCTCCCCAAACCTCCAAATAAGGACAATTATTACAGAGTGAGGAGGAAAAGGAAACAGCATGTTCTCTGCAAAACTTGAGTCCAGAGCTCAAGGTCCCGAGCTCTGCAGGATCCACTTGTCAAAAATTCGGGGAAAAGAAATAGAGCAGGCATAACAACAACGAGGAAAAAAAAATAGAAGAACAAGTAATAAGAAGATACAAGGTGTTCTTTTTTGCAGAGGAAAAAGAGAAGAAAATAAGATTTTCATGGGCACAAACCGGGAAAATGCAAAATCTGAAGAAAATGAAAGAAATGTTCCACTTTTATAGAAACGGAAAAATCCCGAAATCCGGAAAAATGTTCCCCTTGTGATTGCGTTATTTTGGTTTAGATTTATCACTATCAAACATATGATCTGTTTCTCTGGATCCACTTATTTTTGTTTCATCAGATGTTGCAGAATCTGGTGACCAAGAACCGTGGAAGATAGTATAGTTCTCACCGAAAAAAAATGTTGCAAGAAAGCTGGAATTTGATGTAGATGCGATTACTTGAACGAATAATCTAGGAAATTGAATTAGCTTGTTCCCAGAATGTAGCTTTCTTTTTGTTCGGAAAGTATGAAGTGTAGCACAGTAGAGGTTCCTAGAAAAAAAAAGAAAATGGATGCAAATTCTCCATGCAAAATAATGTTCAAATCTGTTGGAGGAATTCGTCATATTCATATTCAAATTTTACTCCTTCCTCTGACTCATGTTACAACGACGCGCTGTTCGATTGTTTCGGTTCTCAAGTACCGTACTTCAATTTGTTTTTTTAATGAAATTTCGAGAACCCCAAAAAGAAGAAAAAAACGAACTCAATGTCCCTACATCATTCTCCCATGATTTAACTTTTTTCCGATTCACATTTCCGGAGAGCAGTCAAGTGATCTATTTCGAGACCGAATTTCCAAGTTTCTTCGTTATTGTTTCTTTAAATGAATTCGGGGCGGATGGTCGGGAGGAAATTGGTTCGCATGACAAGAAATTGAACTTGGCGGAGGAGAAGAAGGAACAAAAAAAGAAAAAAAAGCTAGAAGTTTGATTAGAGAAGGTTAAAGGAAATTGGATTTTTTTAAAGAAAGATAAAAGTAAACAAACAACAAAAAAGGGCAAGTGTTTTCTGGCTTTTGAGTAGAAAACAGTTTCCACTTTCTCAATTTTCTCACACCTTGGAGTATTGCTAATGTAAAAAATTGTTTTTCAGAGCGGACTAGAAAGTTACATATAATTATCTGAATGGTGTTGAGAAGAAAGCAGAAAACTTGATTCTAGCATTGAAGAACTACCGTAAACCAGGAAGTAATTTGAATTGTAAATCGTTCGGAGATCATTCTAACATTATCTATAGTACATCAAAAAAATCTATAAAAACATACTTGTCAGTTGATTTTCGTCCATTTTGACCGTTTTCAGAGGTCTGAAACTCGGCGGACAACTGTCTGATTATTTTGAAAGTTTTGGAAGATGTAAAACATACCTTGATCAACAACTTTTCATGAACGAATTTATTTTTGAGAATTCCTAGTTTATAAGCTATTCGTCGATTTCTAACATATTTTAACACGTTTTTAGCACATCTATGGGTCAAAAAGGAAAGTCTTTCAGAAATTCGCAAATAGCTGAAAAATTAGGGATTTCCAAATAATTATTTGAATCTAAACTTTTCAATCTAGGTCTGTTTTACATCCTCCAAAAATTTCAAATTGATCGAAAATTTGACAGCTGTGATCCAGACTACTAAATATTGTCAAAATGACCCAAAATCTAAAATCCGGTACTGTATATTTCAAGGATTACTGCAGCTAAAACTCAGAAATCTATTTTGAGTTATAAAAATTGAAAATTTTCTACTCATGAAATCTCTGATCATTAGAAAAAGTGTGAAACAAAAAATAACTGAATTGAAAATATTTACCCAATATGATTTTTTTTTCAAAAAACAATTTAAAAATATTTGCTCGTGGTCTCTTTTTTTTCCTCCTCTAAAAATATATCTAAGACATCAGGAAGAGTGGCCACTGACCAAACTCATCTTTTCCTCCATGCATTATTTTTTCCGCAGCAGAAACAATCCTAGTACTTTGCTTGTCACTATCGGATGACTATAATCCTCAGCGTGTCATGAGTTCCAATATCTAACAAATGAGGATTTGAAATGAGCAAGTGTCTGTGTTTTGATAAAATAGGAGCAATCTCAAAAACTAGACGTTCAGAGAAGAGAGAAAAAACAGGAAATTCTATTGTACATAGCTGTGATTTCTATATTTTTCCTTCTTTTTCAAACTTGAAAACATGAAATCAAGAAAAATAAAATAATGATGTGTTTTCGGATACAAAACAAAATAATTTTCACCAGAAAAATATCAAAAAATTTAAGAATAGACTAAAGTTTCCGGGACTGCTCTAGTCAGACTAAAGTAAGATTCCTAGTGTAACCCATTAGTTCTGGGGTGGTCGTGTCTATGAAAAAAAAGAAAGAATGATGAGAAGAGAGAATTGTTGTGATGTTCTGGTCTATTTGTAGCAGAGAAAAACACAAGAGAGGTTCTTTTTGAATCAACTATTAATAACTTTAGTTTCTATTTTTGATATTCTATCTTTGGAATACACACCTAAAAATATATTTTGTTCTTTGTACGAGTCACAAACAACAGATTCATCAAAGACACATAGAGTACCGGTCAAGCAAGATAAACAAAAACGTGTTTTTAAGTAGGTTTTGATCATTTTCAGGAGCCTGAAGCTTGGCTATCAAGTGTCGGATCACTTTGAAAACTTTGGAGGATGTAAAACAGACCTAGATTGGAAATTTTGCATTCACAGAAGTTTTGAAAGTTCCTAATTTTTCAGCTATATGCTGATTTATGAAAAATACCGTATTTCTTCTAATAGAAGCCCATGGGCTTCTATTTTTCGATGATTAATTTTCAAAAAAATTTTTGTTCAAAAAATTAGAAGTTTGACAATTCGGAAAAATTCTGAACTTCGAAATTTTTTCTAAATTCGAAGTATTCATTCTGTAATTCCAACCTCCAAAATTCCATATTTATGAAATTCTGAAAATCCAGAACCTCAAAATTTGAAATTCAGGAATTCTGTAATTTTTTGAGAAATTTTTGTTCTAAAATCACAGTTCCAAAATTTCTGAAATTTTCAATTACCGTATTTTTTGAAATAGAAGCTCATGGGCTTCTATTAGAGGGTCGGCTTCTATTTTTCGAAGCACTTCGCGGAATGAGCTTCTATTGGAGGTGGGCTTCAAATAAAGATGGGCTTCTATTTGAGGAAATACTATACCTATTTTCAGGTTTTTCAGTGTAAAACGGGTCAAATAAGAGTGTCGTTTAGAAAACTGTAAATAGCTGAAAACAAAGAACTTTCAAAAAATTCTATGAGTTCAAAGTTTTCAATCTAGATCTGTTTTACACTCTCCAAAAGTTTCAAAGTGATGCGACAATAGAAAATTAACCAAAATAGTGCGAAAAACTGAAAAACACAATTTTGTTTTTTCCGGATAGTTTTAGGAGGAACTGTTATTTTAACAATAAATTTGGAAGCTGCAAAATATAAAATGAAGAAGATTAGCAAAATTTGGCATGCGCGCAGTGTTGCGAGAAATATGACGACGCTAATTATTCATCATTCATTTTTGCGGACACGAAAATATGTCCGAAAATATCCCTAATCCTGTCTCTGTATCTCTGCTATGTGGAAGTGACACGAATTTGAAATTGAGATAGATAGAGAGCGCTGAATGCGACTCATTTATTATAACGGACAAAGAAAGAAAGATATCTAAAAGAATTTTTCTGCAATATGAATAATTTTTGCATCAAATGAGAACTCGTGTTTTGGTTCGGATGAACACAAAAAGTGCAAACGGAAAAAGTGCACCTAATCCCTTTCGTATAGCAATTTATATATTTGAACTCAATCACGTTCCAAAAAAAGATTAAAAATACATTCTTTCCTCGAGAAAAATGTAATATGTAAGTACAATTATTATAGTGTATAGCTAGAGGATTACGGTAAGCTGGATGAGTCAAAATCAGCTTTAAAAAATGTGGTTTTTTTGCAGGATGACAGGCGACCAAAAATATGATCGGACACGACTGCAACCTTTGTACCCTACCACTCCCATAAAACATGACCCTTTTGCAAAAAAAAATTTTGCGTTCGAGGTCGTACAAGATGCATGTCAGCGTTTTATTAGGTTGGCGGGAAAGTCTTTGTCACTTTTTCAATAGTTTATTTCTCAAAGAAAAAATAACCGAATAATTAATTATATTGTCCATCATTATCAACAACATGTCTCCAACGTTCCCTCAATTTATGGATTCCATTGCGGTAGAATCCAGCCGGGCGTGAGGCAAAGTATTGTTTGAGTGCCGCTTCGACCGCTCCACGGGAATTGAAGCTTCTTCCTTCGAAGGCACGTGTCATATCGCCAAATAACCAATAGTCGGAAGGAGCAAGATCAGGAGAATACGGGGGGTGAGGGAGAACATTCCATCCATATCCCATCAGCTCCTGCTTCACTTGTTTCGAAACATGTGGGCGAGCGTTATCATGTTGATAGTACACTTTCTTGTCTTTCAGGGCCGAACGGTCGACTGCTTTCTTGAGGTTTCGTAGTTGAGTAGTGTAGAGGTCTCCAGTTATTGTTTTGCCCTCGGGCAGAAGTTCCCAGTAGTTGGGGCCGTCCACTCCCCACCACACAGAGAGCATAACTTTTTTCGGATGAAGGTCGGGTTTGGGGACATCCTGTGGGCTCTCTCCTTCTCCAACCCACTGGGATTTCCTGTGGTGATTATCGTAGAAGACCCACTTCTCATCTCCGGTTATTAGCCGGTCCAGCCATCGATCGCCCGCGTGGAGAGTGAGAAGAGTAATCGAATCGTCGACTCGGCGGTCAAGGTTGGCTTGAGTCAGGTGATGACGTATGAATCGACCAAAAAGTTTTCTCATTCCAAGAGACTTCAAACCTTCAAGGACTGTGCTATGGTGAACTCCGAATGTGACAGCTAGTTCACGGCTAGATTGAAATGGATCCGATTGCAATGCGTGCTTCAGCTTGTCCAAATCCAACTCACGGGGTCTCCCAGAGCGATCCTTTTCATCGAGCGAGAAGTCATCTTTTTCGAAACGATGGAACCAATTGCGAATAGTATTGTAGTGAGGGGCATGTGTGTTGTACACATTCTTCAAGAAAGTTTCCGAATCCTTCATCGTGGTGTGAGATAGGAAGAGGTAAATCAAAACATGTCTGATGTGAATAGCAGTGGGAACAAACATATCGTTTCAATTACAGATGAGGAGCAGGGAAGGAAATGGGGACTTGTTTATATGGAAGGTTCTTATCACCTTGTTATTCACTAGAGTCGATATCATACACAGCCTCCATATACGAGAACAGTGATTAAACAAACAGAGTGACAAAGACTTTCCCGCCAACCTAATACTACTATCTATGACAGATGTGAAAATACCAAACAGAAAATTGGAACAGATAACGTGGATCTAAATATATAAGTAGTAATATCATACAAACTCGTCACCTTTCCTCTCATAAAAGCCTGCCTAAACCGTCAACATTGAGCTCAATTATCTCGATTCCTGTACAAGATATCAAAATTTTGTCAACTGATAAATCATTTATCATAACGTCGCCAACATTTTATCAGTTAACGAAATTTTGGTATCTTCTGAAGTAATTGAGATAAATGAGCTCAAAGTTGACGATTTAGATTTTTGATTTTTTTCGATTAGAGAAAACGCAGTATTTTTTGAAATATGGAAACTAGCTAAAACAAAAAATGTTTTGCTAACAATAATTCCTGTTGAGAATCTTATTACAAATTACGAGAATCCAATATATGCATTTGCCGAAAAGCTCATGGATCTGCTATTTACAACATCATCCAGAAATTTTGCATTAGTTGATGTTCGGGCAAATGTCAGATGATCTCTACGAACAACACTAATGAGCGTCATTGAGAAAAAATAGATTGTGTAGCAAAAAGTATTTTTGTATCTCCAAGAGACTCGTAAGTCTACTAATGTCACGTCAATACATGGGAAAATAAGAGAGCTCAAAAGTCAGGAAACTAAAGTAGACACTGATATTAGGTGAATTGTTTTCTGTTTTGTGTCCAGAGAAAGACCAAATGTCCAAAGAAGACCAACAACATCCCCTTCAACTATGAATTCCTCGTTGGAATCGGTCGAGAACACCGATTCATCTAAAAAAAAAACTAGGTTTATAGGAATAGTACCGATTCGGAGAACTGCAGAGAAGAAAACGGAGATATACCTAATGAATCAGATGCCAAGCAATCAAGTTCCTGCCCACTGCTTATTGAAAATCAATCTTTCTGAAAATCCTAATATTGACTCACTTAAAACAGGTGAACTTGTCGTCAAGAACGTCACTTGATATCTCTCCCATGAACTGAGATGAATTGGCTCAAAATTGACGGAATGGTGGGCATTCTACAGTGCGTCCAATAATGATAGGACACCCCTTGTTTTTGACCATAACTTGAGAACGAAAAAATATATCGAAAAACTGTAAACGCCATTTGTCTTGAAATCAAAAATTACTTCGGGACACACGTTTCCGGTTTGGTATTAAATTTACCGATCCTCAGAAGAAAAAAGTCTCCGACGTCGTTCCAGCGGAGGAAACAACTTGGAGAGTCGTTTCGATTCTCAAACCAAAGAAGAATGATGGAACAACGTATTTCCTTGAAAAGATAAAAAGGGGCGGAGAAAAAGCAGTTTAGGGGCGGGGTTTCGGCTGACAAGGAACACAAGGGACGAGAAAGTTGTTTATATTTACTCGAATTATCTATTTTCACATAGTGAACGTGATAATTTTGATATAAAACAATTGTTTTCAAGAAAAACAGAACAACGATGGATCCTACAAAAAATGGTATCTATGCTCACTATCAGTAACAATACTTGCATTTCTTGCAAAAACCACTATTATTGAAACTGATAATAAATTATAAGTAGAGTATAAAGTGCGTCAGGTGTAGCTGAAAAAATAATACTTCGACCTTTATTAATGATTTTCTCTGAAAACAATTAGAAATTTAGTTTTTTGGAAGCTTGAGAGAACTTAGTAGTTTTTCTGTAATATCTTTGATTTGAGAACGACATAGGGGTAGGGGTAGAAAACATGTACTAGGTCTATTTTTTGTGGGAATTGAAACGTAGATCAACGGAATTTTTCAAATTTCGAGATATTGTAAAAATATAATAGAATGCATCTCTTTTATTAGACTTTGAGCCAATTTATCTTAGTTTCTGTGATAGATATCAAAAAGTAGTAAACTAACAAAATGTTATTGATAATTTGATAAATATTTTGCCAGTTCACTACTACTTGATATCTCTCCCATGAACTGAGATGAATTGGCTCAAAATTGACGGAATGGTGGGCATTCTACAGTGCGTCCAATAATGATAGGACACCCCTTGTTTTTGACCATAACTTGAGAACGAAAAAATATATCGAAAAACTGTAAACGCCATTTGTCTTGAAATCAAAAATTACTTCGGGACACACGTTTCCGGTTTGGTCCGTGCGGTAAACTAGAAAATGAGCAAATTTCGACCGTTCAAAAATGATAGGACTCCTTTCAAAAACCGATTATTTTTCAAATTTTCGAACATATAAAAAAACGTTCAAGCACTAGAAAAGATGTAAAACGTTGTTTTTTATCATGTTCAGTGTTTTTGGTTATGATTCATATCACATTTGACCTAGTTTCGAGGATTTTTATAAGTCAACACAGGATTTTTAGAAAAATGCTCAAAAAATCCCGAAAACTGCTCCAATGATTTCGGAAATCACCAGAAACATGTTTTATGATGAGATTTTACGGAATCACGATGAAATAATAGTTTTTCGATATCTTTTTTCGTTCTCAAGTTATGGTCAAAAACAGGGGGTTTCCTATCATTATTGTTTCCTATCATTATAGGACGCACTGTATTAGAGTGGTCACATTAGTTGATATTTCAGATTCATGTGAGACATAGCAACAGAGCATCTTTGCATCTGTTACTTCATAAAGTTAATAAGAGTGTTTGAACATTCCTGACACTGGCAAATGGCGACAGATGGCAACATATGCCGCAGAAAAGTGTCGATTTGTCAGTTTTGTTAGAATTTCAAGAAACTACTTTTTGAAAATTTTGAATGGTAGGATCAAATAGTGCAATTTGCGTTTTCAGACACCCGGAAATATAATCTGTTTTATGTCGCCTGAAAGGCCAACGAATCGGAAAAATTTTCTGTTCTAGTGATCATTTGAAAAGGAAATAAATTTTCACATTTCCGGAGGCGGGAAATACAACATCGCGAAAAGTTTTGCAACTTTGCACATTAGAAGATGTATGATTATTCTTGACATTCTGAAAAAAAACATTTCAAGATCTTTCGCTGTGGACATTGTTGAAAAATACTGCTCAAAATGTTTGTAGCAAAAAAAAGGAATATGAATGCAATTTTTTTTTTCTCAGAGTTCTATATGAAACATCACAGAGCTTATTCCAAATGTATTAATTCAATTCACGGTCACAGATATTTTGTACTTTTATCTTGGATATTTTGGTATTTTGGTTGTAACATCAGGTTTATATATCCCAGTGGATTTCACTACACAAAGCTGATAATAAACAGCCAACCACAATCCAAACATCATTTCGCCGAAGCGGATGTCAAAACCCAGTTTGATGTTTCTAAACACATATTAAGGAGTGGCTATCATTAGATATTGTAAATATATTTTTCACTGATGAGCTTGTTGGAAGACAAAATGAATTTTCTGAAATTTTGAACAATTCACGAGATTCTGAAAAAATCAAAAATAAAAAATTGGATAATGTGATCAAACTTTGGATGATGATTATTCAAATCCACTGAAGGAATTCCCCGAATTTTCATTTTTTTTTTGAAGTTAAAATGCCGTTTCAAATAGACATGATGGTTTTGGTCTATAGGTTTTATTCCAAAAATTGAACTTCTTTGGTGAGATAAGGTCTAGAGATCAGTGAAGTGCTTAGAAGAAGATTTAATTACCAGAAGGGTCGATTTGTTGAACGCTAGGCTTTTCAATTACAACACAAAAGATGGCGAAAATTTGTTATTTTCAGTTTTGAAGTTTATTTATTGAAAAACCATTGCTACAGAAATAAAAATTAGCCAGGAGGGCTCTAAACCCATAAAGAAACGGCACCATCGCTTTCGTTACCTATCAAAACGACACTGTACATAGAAATGGTGAATTTGGGCTGGTCAGAGGGTGGGAGAAGAGGGGAAATGTAATCAATGAAATGTTCAGGTGAAGAAAATGCGAGAAGACAGCTTGCGGACCCGGCGGAACATGGACGAGATTTTGTTGCGCGCTTCAGATGCAAATCCCGTGTTTTGGCAAGTCTGGAATGTAAGTTTTTGTAGAAAAATCAGTTTTCCTAATGTACCTCAACTTGCAATGGGCGCTCATCAATTTTCACCTCACAGATGTAGCATCCGTGGCACGCCTTCATCTCAGACTGTCCAATTTTCTGGTTTCTCCAGAAAAGGCGTTTTGGCAAGGAGATCTTAGAATTCAGATTTTTGGTTCTGTTGTTGAAGAAGCCAGCACGTTTAGGAGGCGAGTATTTTCGGTACTCGATGAATTCAATAGTCAAAGCGAAGGAGACTGATTTTTTGGGAGAGACGTCTGAATGGAGAGTAAAATCAATGCTTTGCATTATTTTGTTTCACACTTGTAAGCTGAAACGGATTAGCTGAAAACATGCACTTTGAAGCAGCGGTCGGAAATCGATAATGTTTTATTAGGTTGGCGGGAAAGTCTTTGTCACTTTTTCAATAGTTTATTTCTCAAAGAAAAAATAACCGAATAATTAATTATATTGTCCATCATTATCAACAACATGTCTCCAACGTTCCCTCAATTTATGGATTCCATTGCGGTAGAATCCAGCCGGGCGTGAGGCAAAGTATTGTTTGAGTGCCGCTTCGACCGCTCCACGGGAATTGAAGCTTCTTCCTTCGAAGGCACGTGTCATATCGCCAAATAACCAATAGTCGGAAGGAGCAAGATCAGGAGAATACGGGGGGTGAGGGAGAACATTCCATCCATATCCCATCAGCTCCTGCTTCACTTGTTTCGAAACATGTGGGCGAGCGTTATCATGTTGATAGTACACTTTCTTGTCTTTCAGGGCCGAACGGTCGACTGCTTTCTTGAGGTTTCGTAGTTGAGTAGTGTAGAGGTCTCCAGTTATTGTTTTGCCCTCGGGCAGAAGTTCCCAGTAGTTGGGGCCGTCCACTCCCCACCACACAGAGAGCATAACTTTTTTCGGATGAAGGTCGGGTTTGGGGACATCCTGTGGGCTCTCTCCTTCTCCAACCCACTGGGATTTCCTGTGGTGATTATCGTAGAAGACCCACTTCTCATCTCCGGTTATTAGCCGGTCCAGCCATCGATCGCCCGCGTGGAGAGTGAGAAGAGTAATCGAATCGTCGACTCGGCGGTCAAGGTTGGCTTGAGTCAGGTGATGACGTATGAATCGACCAAAAAGTTTTCTCATTCCAAGAGACTTCAAACCTTCAAGGACTGTGCTATGGTGAACTCCGAATGTGACAGCTAGTTCACGGCTAGATTGAAATGGATCCGATTGCAATGCGTGCTTCAGCTTGTCCAAATCCAACTCACGGGGTCTCCCAGAGCGATCCTTTTCATCGAGCGAGAAGTCATCTTTTTCGAAACGATGGAACCAATTGCGAATAGTATTGTAGTGAGGGGCATGTGTGTTGTACACATTCTTCAAGAAAGTTTCCGAATCCTTCATCGTGGTGTGAGATAGGAAGAGGTAAATCAAAACATGTCTGATGTGAATAGCAGTGGGAACAAACATATCGTTTCAATTACAGATGAGGAGCAGGGAAGGAAATGGGGACTTGTTTATATGGAAGGTTCTTATCACCTTGTTATTCACTAGAGTCGATATCATACACAGCCTCCATATACGAGAACAGTGATTAAACAAACAGAGTGACAAAGACTTTCCCGCCAACCTAATACATCAAGCATTTGTGAGTTCCCTAACAGCTTTTCCTGAATTTCAGCACCAAAAAAGTTTTCCTGTTCTGAAATTCGGCTTGTCCAGTGTACGAAAACATTGTTCCAGCGATGTCCTTTGAAATTCCTTATTTTCCTTATTCTTGTTCCAGATAACCGTTTTAATTCATTAGCGGTTATATTTTGTTGCTAATTGTATTTACCATCACAGCAAACCGTACTCTAATGAAGATTGTTCAGCCATTTCTTCAAACCAAACACATTCCCAATTCTTAAACATAATCCCAGTATCTTATTAGTTTAGGTACATATTTATGTGCCCGATGTGAATCGAAAAGCAGTGAGTGCTATTTTTTGTTTAACTTGAAAGATCGTGCATACCCCATGCGTGAATCAACAGAATTCGAAGCCCATGCTAGGTTAGATCAAAGCATTTATTGCAATTAAGTTTTCAACCAATTACCGTTGTTGTTCTGGCCGATTTCGTGATGCGTTGGCGAGTCGACCTGTACATTCATTTGTGATTCGATGATCCTGTTTTTGTCATTCTCGGTGATAGCCTGGAAAAAATTAGGGTAGGGAAAATACCATAAAAATTGAATAGAGCAACCAGACGTTTTTATAACTATCTAAAAATTTGAGAAAATTTTAAAAAAAACTTCTGATTTTCCAAATATTCTTTTTTTTTAACGGTTCCCTCACCGCGTTCAAAAACGTCAAACTGGCAAACTTTCTAATTTATTTAATATGAAAATTTGTGAACATTATTTTAAAAAATCAAATTTCTTTTTTTCCTGTCAATGAACTACGGTATTGTTTTGTTTTTTTTTTTTTGATCGCGTGTCATTATAGAATCAAAGAATATATGCCGAATGATAAGCTCCTAACTGTGGATTCTGCTTCTCTCCACACTTTGTTTTATTAATTTTTCTTGACAGTGGATTTTTGCTTTCGAAAATTCTCGACAACACAAAACGCACAATTTGAATTCCTGATATTTTTTTTTCAAAAAATCTGATCAACATAATGTTTTGGTTCTGCAAAAGAAATTGGTCAACAAACTGTACATTAGGACAAGTACATTCTTGGGAACACATTGGTTGATAAGCATTTTTTTAACTGCGAAATCGGCTTCTTCTTTGAAAGAAACTCCGATTTAATTTAATCTTTAAAGGTACTACGAAATGTAAAAAATATTATTCACCCGGATATGATACTGCACTATCTCAATTTTTTGGAGATTTTTTGATTAGGATGAGAAAGCAGCTAGGTACCGCCAAACATAGTTTTGCATAAATAAATCTCAAAACACATTGTTTTTTAATTTCACTTGATCTGAATTTTGAAAAAAAAGAGTACTCAACTAAACGTTTCACTGTTAGATTTCTTCGTGCATATCAACTGGCACATAACGTCAACACTCTAATAGAACCTTCCTAATACAGTTCATTTTCAGCCCCACCCCCCCCCCCCCATTTTGGCAGTTTACCACTTTATGATATCTTCAACAGAAACCAAGATAAATTGTCTCCCAATCAGAGTGGAAAATTAGCAGGATCGTTGTATGAGAGTGTTTACTGTATAACCTCCATACCCGTCACTCACCATATCATTGAACATTGGGATATCAAACGTTGGTGATGGAGTTTGTGATCTGTCTTGCTCCCAAATATCCCCTGGAATAGCAGTAGTAGATGGAGTCGTGATTCCAGAAACTGGCGATACTGGTGGAGTTGGTGGCTGCTTCGGCTCGTTCTGTGAATCGCGATGAGCCTGCACGAGACGTGGATCTGCTGGGAAGAACGTATCCGGTGTGTCGTTGTCCGAGCAGTACACCAATAAGATTGACTCGCAGTAGTCGGTTTCTTTGTAGATGGCTCCCATGTTTGCTCTGGAATTTTTTTTGAATTTCAGAAGTGGAATGGTAAGAGTCAAGAATCAAAGAAATAAAAATACCAAAGATTGAAGAGGAGGATGCGCTTCTTTTTATCATGTGGGTGGCACAGTAGCAAACAATAAAAACAATAAAACATTCGTTTGTTCTGAAAACTTTGTTTTATGAAAGACTCGATGAAAGATATGGAATGCGAAAAAAATGCTCTCTTTTTTTTAATTCCAAGAGGGAGAGCGAGGTCAGAAAAATGAAAATAAAGGACATGAAATATAATATTTTTGGTTGGAAAGAGAGAGAGAGAGAGAGAGAGAGAGAGAGAGAGAGAGATTAGGATGAGATGGGTCCACTATAATATGAAATGAGATAGAGCTGAAGGAGGCATCATATGATATGCAAGTTTCAAAATTTCGATCCTGAAGGGGGAAAAAAGTACTGACAGGAAACACGTGGCATCGCACTTTAAAAAAAAAAAATGGTACATCGAGAAAGAGTATATCTAGTTTTTGGGGTACTTTTGTGCCAAGGGTAAATGAGATTTTGTGGTACATGTGGAAGGACAAAACAAACCATATTCTTTTTTTACAGACTATGTTGCTTTTTCCTCAAAATTGTATGATTAAGCTAAGACTCCATGTACCCTTTCAATGTACCCTAAGAACTTGATGTACTGTCGATGTACCTTTATTTGACGTATCTTTGGATCCTGGGCCTGAAACAGGGAGGGGAAGCGATGAAGGCAACCAACATTACAAAATAAAAAACGTCTGAAAAATCGAGAAAATAAAAAGAACAAAAAGACCTACACCCCTCATCTCATAAAACGAAACGAGCATGTTTCTCACTAACCATATATATCTCCTTTCCTCCCGCCCATTTTCTCGCCCACGGTTGTACTGGTGCAACGAGGTCAATGTCGACTTTTCAGAAAAAGATGGTCCTTCGTGCCGATGTTCACAGTTCATCGGAAATAACAAAGAAAGCAATATAGTTTCAGTGCCACCGCGTGCAGCGGAAATTGAAAAACTGACGAGAGTCAAGAAAAATGAGAAATACTTTTCATAGAGATGGATACATATGCATTCAGAAAAATGGCGTTCTATTTGTCTCGTGTCATTTTCAGAATGAATACGTATGTTTCCCGAATCCAATAAGGAACTGAAGTGCGGGCGGGAAGGAAAGAAAATTCAAATTTTTAAAAAATGGTCTATCTAGAAACATTCGAAAGTCTTTGAATCCGCTCGTCAGTTTCAGCGAGTTATACAATTTTTAGTACCAAAAATCGAAATTTCGGTGCAAAACAGGGATTGTCGAAACGATTTTCTTAAATCCTATAACGTTTCCGAACAAAAAACTTGTTGTATTATACTTAGAACTGGATGAAATTCTATATTTCAGATAATTTCTCGATTTTTTTCAAATTTCACATTTTTCAATTACCTGGGCTTTTGTGTTCAATGGAAATCTGTAAAAATGGCCCCATTAATATGTCTAAAACATGAAAAAATTATTTCGTTTAACTTTAAGGGAAAAACTACTAATTTCATGTTTTTAAAAGTCGTAGAAGTTAAAAAATCCTCTTAACAATTGCTTCTTTAGCACAAAAACAAGGTACTGAACTTGGCTGAAACTGGCGAGCGGATTCTGAAATTTTCAGAAATCTCAAAATAAGAAATTCCTAACTAATCCTGAAATTTCAATCAAAATCTAGGGACCCAAGATGTTCCTCTGTCTGGAAACAAATGAACATATGTAGTGAAAAGGGGGAATAAACATATGCCAAAAAAACAGGTGGACTAAACCTGACGGTCGCTGAACAGCTGTAAATATTGATTTTCTTCCAGACAATAAGAAATAATAACTAAAAATAAATGAAGGAAGGAACTTGCAAAAAGAAAAAAAGAATCGGGAAATGAAATTTCGCTCATCGGAACAGTGGAATTTGGAATTTGAACGTCGGAAATGTCACTCGAAATTGGAATTCGGGAGGAAAAGAGCGCGGAAAAAAAAGATGATGACATTTATGAATGAGGAGATTTTGAGCAATAAAAATTAATTACTTTATTTTCGGAATTGCGGGAGAGAACAGAACAAAAAAAAAATCCAGGTAATGTTTCGAAAACACGTCCGAGACATTTAGAACAAGAACAAGATTAAAAAGCCCTAACTAAACAAGGGGGTACGAGTATAATCTTTTTCTTAATTACTGGTTACATTACTTGCGAGGAATCGAGAGTGGTCATCTATGTAAGTCACGATGGCACTAGAAAAAAATTATAGGTGCACTCTCATTTGGTATTCCTAGTGACTAGTGAAGAGTAACAACTTGGCGGCTAGACATAAAAAGTGAAATCTCGAAAAAAAAGAAGATAAAAAAGACCAAAAAGTATTAAACGCTTTTTCAATGTTAGCGTGGTAGTTTTTTTTTCTCCGCAACCGAATTGAAGGAAATGGGAGGTGAGGTGATATACGAGCGTTGATAAGCGAGAAGGATTTTAATTACTCGCGCAACGTGATTGGCATCAATTTGTTTTTTTTTGTGGTTGTTGTTGCAAAACGCTTGAAAGCAGACTTTTAGATTTTTGAAAATTGCCAAATGACTAATTTATCGGAAAATACTCAATTATGATTTTTTAAAATTCAAACTAAAGTTATATTTAAAATGTTCACAAATTCAGAAATAAGTGGAAGTGATCAATCACACCTTCACCTTTACTTTAGTCCTTTTCTTTCACTTTTGGTCCAATGAGTACACAAACTTCCCATGATTTTAATTATATGACTCAGGAAAAAGCATTTTTCAAAGTCACGTGTACAATTTGAAAATTTTTTGAAAAGTTGCAAAATATGCATAAACTAAGTATAAGAAAGTCTAGAAAGCTGAAAAAGGGATGATATCTTTTTTGGAAGCAAGAGAAAACTGCTCTTTGAATATCAATTGAGCTCAAAATTAAGACTAATTTTTATTTCTGTTGTTTTAATGATTCCCTGTGTTTACAAGCCGGAACTAAAGCCAAAAATAAATTATTTCAAATTGTCTCAACGGTTTTTGTAATTTTTCCAAAGGTTAATGGAAAATCATAGAATACATGCGTTTCAAAAATTGATCAAACTGAAAAATATTTTGTTCTTGTTTGGTTGGCTATTTTTTACTAAAACGCCTGTCAAAATGGAAGAAAAGCTTAATGTCGGTATTTAGGAAATCACAGAATACTGAATAAAGAAATCCGACTCTTTCAAGTCATATAACGGTTTTTTGCGATTTCCCAGATTCCAAGTAATCAGTATTGAGTGGCTATAAAAATGAGTAATCACGAAAATGGAAAACTCAAAGTTTTGTTAGAATAAAAAGTTCGAAGGACTACGGTAGTTTTATGGGACGGTTTTTTTCCTTTTATGGATCAAATTATTTTTTTAAAACTGTAGTTCTTCGAGCAGAGAACTCACAAAAATTAGAAATAAATGGAAGTAAGAAAAAAGGTTTAATGAAAAATTGGGAATTTTCTGAACTTTCCGGAAACAGGTATTTTTCGTAAACAAGATTCCAAATTGAATATGCAAAAAGTTATAAATGTTCTAGATTTTAAAATTTACTTCAAATATGGCATAATTGGAGGTTCAGAATTCATCTGAAAAAATTTCGAAAAATCATGTGAAATTCAAAATTCCTGGAGTTGGGATTAATTTTCAAATTGATAAGGCCAGAGCGAAAACCTAATTTGAAAAATGTAATTCTGACCTTACTGTATTTATGTTTTTTTCCAGGAATATAAAAATTCCAGTATCGTTAATCGACTTTAAAAAATTTGATAAAAAATGTTATAGGAATGAAAACCTAAAACAAACGTACCTCATGCCAATTCAACCCTATACAATTAAAAAATGTCAAACTTTTAGCCATATCCGCTACAGGTGGATAAAGGAAATTATAAGAACTCCCCCAGTGTTTACACAGATGGTGAACGGTCTCATGTCATGTCCTATTACGTACTTTGTCTTTATGTCGAAACGTCCTCTATTGGTACTAGAATCATGTTTCAACTTACAGCTAATAATGGAAACCAAATCAATTTTGAATTAACGTCATTCTTGGATCAAGATTCTGATTTCAGCGGAAGGGTAACAGACAAACACATAACGCGCCAAAACTCATTTTTCTGATTTTCTATTTTGTGCCAATAGGTTCGTTCAAAAAAAAAAGAAATATGGGCATATCTAGAGGAAAAAAAGCTATACCAATATGAATCAGTCTGAAAGCAAAAAAGCGAAGAAACAAAAAGAAGCAGGTGAAGTAGTCGGTGACAAAAATGAAACTGAAAATGAATAATAGCAAAAAGAAATTTCTAGATTTAGAACTTTTTTCTTATTATTAGATGTCAAATATAAAAGCGGAAATAAATTTAAACATCCTGGTTAAAACAAACGGCGACTAACTACCAGACATGGAGATCAAAATGAAGAACACACACATACGAACGAGTCAGTAAACTCTAGTTCAGAAATGCATGGCGATATTTTTTTCCATTCGGAGCTCTACATCATTGCTTATTTGTTCAAAAAAATACATTTTTCTTTAAGAGAAATAGAAGAGAAAGAAAGCAAATCAACAAAACAACAAAACCTGAACCTGAAATTAAAAGAAAAATGGAAAATATAAAATATTTTTGTCCTTGAGAATTTTGAACATGTTTTTAGGTGTCAGACAGAACACATACACTCCAATAAGCAAATCAACTGAGCTCCAAAAGACAATTTGAACAAAAAAAAAAGTCTCAGCCAGCTGATTGCTTTTCTTGTTACCCAACAATGTGACAATGAAAAACAGAATAAAAACCAAGAAAAAAGTAAGAAATCTCCCGATTTGTGATTCCGATGTTTAGTTGGAGCCAATTACACATAGACGTCGCCGCAGACAATTTTACAATTTTATTCTTAGCTCAAATTTGAGAGGACTTTTTCAGTGTAATTAATATGAGGAACTGGCTTGGTCGGA